GGAGAGGACCTTCGTCGTCGACGCGAGGTCGCGCCGCGCCTCGGGGTAGCTCGCGCTCGCGTTCAACGCCGGCGCGGCGTCCGCGTCGAACGCCGCCGCGCGNGTCGTCCTCGCCTCGCGCCTCGGCGCATCATCTGGCGGACCGAGACGCCGCGGCGCGTCTCGCGAAACGTCGTCGTCGTCGTCGTCGTCGTCGTCGTCGTCGTCGCCTCGTCGTCGTCGCGCGAGCGCGGCGGCGACGCGCGCGGCGGCGTTCGACGCGGACGCCGCGCCGGCGTTGAACGCGAGCGCGAGCTACCCCGAGGCGCGGCGCGACCTCGCGTCGACGACGACGGCCCCCTCCGACGCCGCCGTCGCGTCCGCGTCGTCGTCGTCGTCGTCGTCGTCGTCGTCGTCGTCGTCGCGTCCGCGATGGGTGGACGTCATGAACGCCGGCCTCGACGCCGCCCCGGGGTGGACGCTCTTCGCGTTCGTGCTCATCGACATGGGCAGCGCGCTGTGCCTGTACGCGCTCTTCGCCGCGGCGAAGGTCCCCGTCGACGCGGACTTCGCGCTGGCGTACGCGGTGAGCAAGAGCATCCGAGCGCCGAGGCTCGCGTTGGGTGCGTTCTGTTTTTTACGCCGCGCCGGTTCCCGCGCGACCGCGTCGGCTATCGGCACTGGTCCCCATACGACCCCGTTCGCGTGGTGAACGCCGATCCTTAAGGACTTTTGCCAGCGTTTCTCTTCGCCCATCCCTCGGTTTCAATCCTGACGCACCGCGACGCCTTTCAACTCCGCTTCTGACGCCTTTCGACTCCGCCCCGACGTACTGTATGGGAAACGACCCTCGTCGTCGCGTCGTATCAGACGCGTGGGTGGCGAAGGAGATGGCGCGCGCGTTTCCGTCGCTCGCGGAGGCGCGTTCGCACGCTGACTGGTCCCCGTACGACCCCGTCGGCGTGGTGAACGCCGTTTCTTGATGACTTTCTCTCCCGGCGCATCTCTCCGCCCACTCCTCGCTTTCGATCCCGACACACCTCGACGCCTTTCAACTTCAAACGCTGACGCCTTTGAACTCCGCCCCGACGTTCGCTTTGAATGGAACGACCCGAAAGGTGCGTTTCGGCGCGCTCGTGGACGCGGGGAGCGACGCGGCGGCGATGGTGCGCGACGCGGTCGGGAAGCGGTGGAAAAGAAGAAGAACGACGGGGACGGGGACGGGGACGGGGACGGGGACGGGGACGGGGACGGGCGGCGGCGGGGACGGGGACGGGGACGCCGCCGCGACCGCCGCGGCAAACGCCGAAACCAAAAGAGAACCGAGCGCGTTCGCGCGCGACGCCAAGGCGCTGACGGATGCGTACGGCCTCGCCTACATGGCCGCGAAGAACGTCATCGGGCCCGTGAGCATCGTGCTCTTCTACTACGTCATCAAGCGCGGCGTCAACCTCAGCGCGTGGCTCGGCCCGGAGGTGCGTTCTCCTCACACTGGTCCCCATACGACCCCGTCGGCGTGGTGAACGCCGATCCTTAAGGACTTTTCCCGGCGTGTCTCTCCGCTCATCCCTCGCTTTCAATCCCCACCCTCGACGCCTTTCAACTCCACCTGACGCCTTTGAACTCCACCCATAACCAGCTGACGAAGGGCGCGGTGGGCGCCAACGCCGGACTGATGGCGCTCGCGAGCTGGTGCAGCGTAGTTTTGTTTCCGGGGGTGGTGTACTACGCGACGGTGTTCGGGCCAAAGTTGAGGGCGTGGGCGCGGGTGCTGAGCGCGCGGGTGCGCGTCACCGCGCGGGGGGGCGACGGCGGGTTGATGGCGTAGGCGGTGGCGGGCGTCGTCCGTCGCGTAGGATGGTAGAAGAGGTTGTAGAAGACGTTGTTCGCGCGCGTCATCAGTCGGGGTCTTTTTTCTGTACGAGCGATGATATCGGGGCGGAGTTCAAAGCGTCGGATGGATACATGGAGTCGTAAGGCGTCGAGGCGCGTCTGGATTGAATCCGAGGGACCCTGGGCGTAGAGATGCGCCGGGAAGTAAAGTCCTTGAGGATCGGCGTTCACCACGCCGACGCGGTCGTACGGGGACCGGCGTGAATACGAACGCGCCTCAGACTACGAAACAGCACGTTCTTCTCGTCGCCGCGCGCGACCCGTCGTCGGTCACCACCGCCGACGTCTCCGCGTCCTCCGCGACGACCTCCTCCGCGTTCGTGGGGAAGTCGCTGTGCTTCCGCTTCACCGCGCGCCTGCCACGCCCGCCCGCCGGGTCCCCGACGCGTCGGCGGAAGATCAGCGACAGAAGCGCGACGGCTTCGACGGCGGCGACGACGGCGGCGACGACGAAGGCGGTCCTCCACCACGCGAACGTCGAAGCCTCCGCCCTCGCCCCTACCGCCGCCGCCGCCGCTTCCGCCGCCTCCTCGTCGTCGTCGTCGACGACGACGACGCGCACGTCCCCCACGGCCGCCGCGACGTTCACCTCGCGCCGTTCCCGACGCTTCCGTTCGCTTCCGCTCGCCGCGCACGCCTCGCATCGAACGACGACGACGACGCGCGGGGACGCGTCCTCGAACGTCATCGTCGTCGTCGTCGCCACCTCGAAGTCGTCCTCGCGCAGCGGCGCGGTCGCCGCGGTCGCGCGCGCGGTCGCGACCGCCTCGTCCACCTCGAACAGGACGCACTCGAGCGCGTCCGCGTCGCGCGGCCACGCGCCGAGGACGACGCCGTCGCCCGCGGGGACGAGCGTCCCCGCGACCGGCGCGCGATTCGGCGGGAGCGTCGCCGCGAGCGCGACGACTCGAAGCTCCGACGACGACGCGTTTTGCCGCGCGACGCAGCGCACGACGCGCGTCGTCCCGCGCGCGTCGGCGTCCGCGGCGTCCGCGGCGGCGAACGACGCGCCGACGAGCTCGAGGACGGCGACGTCCGCGGCGGCGTCGACGCGCGTTAGGACGCTCAGCGCCGCGAGGAGCGCGAGGAAGGCGGCGGTCGCGCGCATGACGAACGCGCCGCGGACGGCGGTGGCGCGCGCGCGAAACGCACGAAACGCACTTCGTTCTCGGCGCTCCGAAACCGACCGCGACCCCCAGAGACCACTGCCAGCTGGCGCTGTGCGGCCGCCCCTTCAGCGAACGATCGTCGCCCGCCTCATCGCGCCGGTCGCGGCCGCACGCGTCGTCGCCGTCGTTTTAATGTCCTCTCCCGCCGCGCGCGATGGATGCCGCGCGCGGATCTTCCACGTCAACGACGTCTACGTCCTCGATAACCTCCCCGCGCTGCGCGCGTGCGTGAGGGAGGAGTCCTCTGGGATCCCGCGACGAAACGTCATGGTAGACCTCGCGGGCGACTTCCTCGGCCCGTCGCTTCTCTCGTCGCTCGACCACGGCGCGTCCATGATCGACGTCCTGAACCGCGTCCCGGTGAACGTCGTGTGCTTCGGGAACCACGAGGCGGACGTGCCGTACGCCGCGATGCGCCGCCGATGCGACGAGTTTAAGGGGACGTGGCTCAACTCGAACATGCCGTCGTTCGAGCACCCGAACGTCGTCGCTCACGCCGAGTGGAAGCTCGACGGTAACCCCAATCGGTCCGTCGCGCTGATCGGGCTGAACGTCGGCGGCGGGGTCGACGCGAGCCTGTACCGCGAGGGCGCGATCGGCGGGCACGCGGCGAAGATCGTGCCGGTGATGGACGCGGTGGACGCCGCCGTCGCCGCGGCGAGGGCGGCGTTTCCAGACGCCGACTGCGTCGTCCCGCTGACGCATCAGGCGCGTGCTCCTCACACTGGTCCCCATACGACCGCGTCGGCGTGGTGAACGCCGATCCTTAAGGACGTCACTTCCCGTCCCGGCGTATCTCTCCGCCCATCACCCCTCGCGTTCAATCCCGACGCGCCTCGACGCCTTTCGACTCCGCTTCCGACGCGCCTCTGAACTCCACCCCGACGTTATTCGCTCGTACGGACCCTCGACCCTCAGTCCGTCGCGGAGGACGTCGCGCTCGCGAAGCGCGAAGATTTAGGGTTTCCATGCGTTCTCGGCGGGCACGACCACGCGGTGTTCGACGAGACGCACGGCGCGCGCGGGTGCAGGGTGGTCAAGGCGGGCGAGGACGCGAAGCGCGTGGTGATCGTCGATTTGTTTTGGCCCGCGGAGGCGCCGAGGGGGTCCGCGCCGGAGGTGACGGTTCAGTTCAAGCCGCTTGCGGCGGAATCCGAAGCGTCGGGCGGCGGCGGCGGCGGCGGCGGCGGCGCGCCGTACGTCCCCGACCCCGAGCTCGCCGCGATCGTCGAGCGGTGGTCCGCGCCCGCGATCGAGCTCCAGACGGCGACGCTGGCGGACCTGTCGAAACATCCGAGTCACCCGCTGAGTTCTCGAGACGTGAGAAGCGGGCCGAACTCGATGGCGACGGTGCTCGCGACCGCGCTGAAGGTGGCGACGAGGGCGGAGGTCGCGCTGCTCAATAGCGGCGGCGTCCGCGCGAAGAAAATCTACGAGGACGGGAAGATAACCTACGCGGATCTCAGCGCGGAGTGTCCATTTCCCGCGCCGTTCGTCGTGATGAAAATTTCCGGAAAGGCGCTCTCCGACGCGCTCGTCGCGTCGAGAACGCGGTGGCACGTCGAAGGCGGCCCCGAGGAGGACGGCGACTCGTTCCAGGTCGACGACGGGATCGCGTTCGACGCGACCACGGACGAGATCCAGACCGTGATGTACGGAAAACCGCTCGAGTTGGAGCGTTTATACGAACTCGTCGTGGACTCGTACATGATCGGCGTCAATCCGGTTTTGAAGGCGTGGAGGGAGGCGAATCCCGCGTTGATCCCTCCGGACGACGCCGGACGACCCGCGCTTCCCATCCTCGTGCAGTACTTTTGCGACAAAGCGTGGACGGCGCTCGTCGACGAGAACCAGGATGGGAAGATCGAAACGGCAGAACTAGATGCGTTTTTCGACGCCGCCGACGCGGATGGCTCCGGCAAGCTCGACGAGGAGGAGGTGCTCGCGGCGCTCCGCGAAAAGTTGGGGCACATGGCGTCGAGCGTCGTCGCGCGGCAGATGCTGGCGGCCGCGGACAGAGACCAGGACGGGAAGGTGAGCAAGACGGAGCTCGTGCATCTGATGAAGCTCCGAGCCGGGAGGGAGGAGTAGATAGTAGACCTACGTACACGTAGCCGGGGGGAGAAAGCCTTTCCCTTGAATGATTACCATAATGTTGAGTCGTGCCTCCCTTCCGTCCACTGTTCTCGCGGCGCGTCGGTCGCGATGGCGGCGCGCGCGAAGAAGGACGCGTTCGACGCCGCCGCGCTGCGCAGCGCGCTGTCCACGCCGAGCACCATCTCGAGCGCGGGCGCGACGGACGTCAGCGGGCACTCTCGATCCGCGGACTTCGTGGCCGCGTTCGAGACGATCTCGGATCTCGCGCGAGGGCGCTCGTCGTCCGACGCCGGGGTCGTCTTCGCGAGCGTGTGCGAGATCCTCCTCGACGCGGAGCCGGCGTACCTGGACGACGTCGGGACCGACGTCCTCTCGCCGATGATACGCGCCGCGAACGCGGTCGGCACGCCGTCCGCGGAGGCGACGACGTGCGGCGCGGTGGCCGTCATGGCGAACGCGTGCGGCGCGCGAGATCTCTTCGTCCTCGTCCTGGAGCAGCTGCAGCTGCGTCTGCGAGGGATCGACGCGCCGCCGGCGACGGTGTACGGCGGCGGAGGGCGGCGACGCGACGACGGCGACGGCGACGGCGTCGGCGACGACGACGACGACGACGACGACGACGACGACGACGACGGGTGCCCGAAGGACGGATGGCGACTCGCCGGCGCGTTGGCGAGCGCGTTGGCGTCGATGGTGCCGCGGCTGAAGACGCCGGGCGTGTTCGTCTCCGACGCGACGCCGCTGCTTCGCGCGCTGTGCGTGGCCGCGTGCGATGACGCGAGGGAGCGCGAGGAGGAGGAGGAGGAGGAGGAGGAGGAGGAGGAGGAGATTAACGGCGGCGGCGGTTCGTCGGTCGGCGGCGACGGCGACGGCGAAGGCGACGGCGACGAGAGACGGTGGGCGCCGGCGAGGGAGGCGCTGCGCGGCGTCGCCGCGTTCGTCGCCGCGGCGTCCGCGACGCTGGGTAAACGCCTCGCGACGGCGACGACCGCGGACGCGACGACCGCGGACGCCGCGGCGGCGACGCGCGACCTCGCGCTCTTCGCGGCGGCGACGCGACCGGATCGCGACGACGCCTCTGCCTCTTCCGCGTCGCCGCCGCCGCCGTTCCTAGCGCACTTCGACGCGCTTTGCCGCGCCGCGGGCCTCGGTGCGATCCCGTCGCGCGCGCCCGACGACGTCCTCCCGACGTCGCCGAGCCCTCCGACCGCGGTCGTCGTCGGATGCGCGCTGGCGGCGGCGCGTTGGTTCGAACACGCGGACGCCGTGACGCCGCTCCCTCAGGTGCGTTCTGTTTTTCACCCACCACGTACAGTACAACTACTGTAGGTTCAACATTTGATCGCGTGGGTGGGTCCCTTTCAACTGACCGATGAATGAACTCATTTCCCTCAAAGCAGCCTCTCCCGAGCAGCTCGCCGATCGACCACGAGACCGGGGCGTCGATGTCGATGAACGCGACGTGCGTGTGCGGGCTCGTGAACGCGCTGACGACGTCGTCGCTGCGCCCGTGGCATTTCCCCGCGGGCGTGGCGTTGGCGGCGGCGGCGTTTCGGCGAACCGCGGCGGCGTACGTCGCGACGGCGGCGAACGAAACGCTCGCGTCTCCGGCGTCGTTCTCGGTGTTCGACGCGGAAATTCTCGGGAAAACGCTCACGACGCTGACGTTAACGCTGACACACGTCCCGGACGCGGCGATGCGCGAGCGCGCGCGGCTCGCGCTGTCGCGAGCGCTTAGCTCCGTCCCGCCGACGGCGCGGTTCGACGCGATACAAAAAGTACTCCGGGCGACGCCGCCGCCGTCGCCGGCGGTGACCGCGCTGTTGCTCTCCCGCGTCAAGCGCGAAGCCGCCGCCGCGGGCGACGCCGCCGCGGGTAACACTCGCGACCTCCGCGACAACCCGTTCTCGAGCGCGGTCGCGGTGGATCTCGTGACACGAGAGGTGACGACCGCGCTGCGCGACGCGACGCGCGGCGCGGCGGACCCCGCGGGCGCGGCGGACGTCGCCGTCGCGGGTCTCAACGCGTTGCGGTTCTTTCTCATGCGCGGCGCGGCGAGGAGGGGTCCCGACGGCGACGGCGACGACGACGACGACGACGGCGGCGAGCGCGGCGACGGGGCGTGGGAGAGGCGGGAGGAGATCGTGGACGCCGTCGTGCGACCGGCGTCGACGTGGGCGACGGCGGAGCTCGCGAGGCGGCGCGTGTGCGGCGGGGAGGGGGACGACGAGATCGCCGTCGCGTCGTTGATGGCGTTGCAGCAGGTCGAGTCCGTGGCGGGGTACGTCCTGGAGTTCGTAGAGCAGCAGACGTCGTCGTAGGGAAGTACTGTGCGCGTACTGTAGAGACTAGTAGCTAGGCGCGACGCGCGAAGATCAGAGCAGAGTACACGTACAGTGCGCGCGCCTCGCGATGATATTTCTCTTAATAGATACCTTCACGCTTCTTCAACCGGCGGCGCCGCGCGATGAGGTATTCATTCGCGAGGTATTCGTTCGTCTCGTTCGTCGTCGTCACAACCCCAAAACCTTCAGGTCCGCGACCAGCGGCCGGTGCGTGCTCCCTTGCACGTCGTGCACCTCGCACCCGACCACCTCCACCGCGGCCATCTTATCCACCATGACGTAATCCGGCCTCGTCCACGCGTATCCCACCTCTTCGTTCAACTGAAACGTGTGCTTCGGTCCGCGCGCGGTGCCCTTCTCCTCCGCGAGATTCCACGCGTCGTCGTACGACCCGCCGACGTCCCTCTCGCGGTCGCCGTCGATCGCGTTCGGGTACCCGCCGACGCTGATCTTCCTTCGCCGCGTCAGCCAATTCGTGACGCGCTCCTCCATCGCCTCCCAGCCTTTCTCGTCCGCCAACGCGTTGAGGTGTTCCTGCGCGATTCGATTCGATTCGATTCGTTCGAGGGGAGACGCGTACGCGTCAGTCAGTCGCGCGGACGTGCGATTGGTGGATGAAATGTACACGTGTCAAAACGTGAGGTTCACAGCGCGCGATAGAAATCCAATCCTTAAGAAACGCCGCGCGACGCGCGAGCGGGGTCGCACGGGAAGCGGTCTCGTCGGAGTCGCACCCACGCGTCGCCTTCGAAATCTGCCGAGCAATGCGCGTTGAAGTCACCCGCCAACACGTGCGGCCCCCTGAGCTTCATCCGCCGCGAGATCTCTTTGACCTGCATCAGGCGCCACGCCTCGAAGCGATCGTCCAGGTGCGCGCTGCACACCCACACCGCGCGCGCGTTGTGGGTCCCTTCGATCCCTCCGTCGTCGATGCCGAATCCGAATCCGTTTTCTCCTCCTCCTCCTCCTCGCCCTACGCTCAGCTGCCGCATCCCGCCGCTGAGGCTGCGCGCCAGCGGCGACGATCGGTGCGACGGCGACGGCGACGCGACGTCGCCGCCGTCGCCGATGCCCGCGCGACCGAACTTGCCGCTTCCCCCTAATCCTAGGCGCGACGGCGATGACGGCGATGAAGGCGCGATGGTCGTCGCGATCATGGATCGATCGCGCGCCAGCGGGTCGTTCGCCGACGACGATGAACTCGACGCCTCCGGAAACGCGAGGCAGACGCACGCGACCGCGCGCGGGCTGTTCCCCGGGAGGTGAATCTCCATCGCGTCGATCGCCATCGCGCCCGTGCGATTGTCCGTGAGCACCGCGGTGCCGAACTTGCGAAGCTTCCCGGTCGTCCGCGGCTTGGCGAACACGACGTGGTGCTTCGCGATTCCCAATTCGAACGCGAGCGCCTTGGCGAACGCGCGCGTCGTGGCCTGCAGGCAGATAGCGTGCGGCGCCGGATCGAGGCCGCGGACGTGCGACAGGATGGACGCGAAGTCCTCGGACGGCGCGACCGCGCGCGCGACGTTCCACGTCAGGATGCGGAGCCCGCCGCGCTCGCGGAACGGCGCGAGCGCGAGCCCGGGGCGGCTCGGGGACGGGTCCGCCATCGCGACGGTGGGCGATGAGAATGCGCCCTCCTCGGGCAACGGTTTCGATTTCGATTCTGTCGTCTGGCGGTTGACAATGAGGTGCGTTCTATACAAAAGTTTTTCACCCATCGCCCGCTTTCAACACTTGATCGCTTCCCCTTTCAACTGACCTATGAACTATTTTTGTATGGAATGCAGTGGCCCTGACGCCGTTTGGCTCGAGCCGTCCGATCGTCCGATAACAACGCGCCTCTTCGCGAGGGCCACACCCGGCCGCGCGCTGCCCCGCCCGCCGTCTCCTCGCGATGCACCGCCTCCTCGCGAGGACGATGATGACGACGACATCGAGAGTCACCGCCGCGGCCGCCGTCGCGTCGTCGTCGTCGTCGTCGTCGACGCGGACGACCCCGCGCGCGACGATCGCGGGGAACGGCACCCGCCACCGTCGTTCGTCGACCCATGGTCACCGTCATCATCGACGTCGGTCGCCCTCGCCGGCGCTTCGTCCTCGCGGCTCGAGCTCGCGGCTCGCCTCCTCCTCCTCCTCCTCCTCCTCCTCCTCCTCGGACGTCGTCGAACCCGGCCCGCCGCCGCCGATCGCGCTCGTCTCCTTCACCCGCGGCGGATCCGCGTCCGGCGCGTCGTCCGCGGTCGAGGTCGGACTCGTCGAGAACGGCGCGTGGATCTGGCCCATCCCGCGCGACGCCTACGGCGTCTCCGAGCGCGGCTGCGGCATGCAAGCGCTCGTCGCGGCGTGGCACGCCATGGACGCGAGCGCGAAATCCCCCGCCGCGGTCCTCGAGCGCGAGCGACGCGGCGATCCGATCCCTCTGAGCGCCGCGACGCTCCTCGCGCCGTTGCCGAGCCCGCCGAGCGTGATCTGCGTCGGGAAAAACTACATGGGCGCGTCGTCCTCGCACTGGTCCTCATACGACCGCGTTGGCGTGGTGAACGCCGTTCCTTAAGGACTTTCTCTCCCGGCGCATCTCTGCGCCCAGGGTCCCTCGCTTTCAATCCCGACACGCCTCGACGCCTTTCAACTCCAACTGACGCCTTTCGACGCCGCCCCGACGTTCGTTCGCTTCGCACGGAACCGCGCCCCTCAGAGCACGTCGGAGAGGTCGACAGCACGATGCCGGGGATATCCAAGGCGGAGGCGCCGTCGTGGCCGATCATCTTCACGAAAGCGCCCACGTCCGTCGTCGGGCACGGCGGCGGGATCGTGTATCCGACCGGGGTGACCGACCAGGTCGACTACGAGGGGGAGCTCGGCGTCGTCATCGGCAGAGGCGGCGTCGCGATCGATGCGTCGGGTGCGTTCTCATCACCTTTAACATTTGTTTTTCACCCACTACCACTCGGTTTCAACACTTGATCGCGTCCCACTCGGTTTCAACTGACCGATGAACTATTTTTGTACGACGAAATGGCTTTCAACTCATCAGACGCGATGGATCACGTCTTCGGGTACACCTGCGTCAACGACGTCACCGCGCGCGACGTCCAGAAGCGGCACCAGCAGTGGTACCTGGGGAAGTCGTTCGACGGGTTCTGCCCCATGGGCCCGTGGATCGTCCCGAAGGACGCGCTGCCCGAGGGCTTCGACCCGAAGCGCGGGCTCCCGATCGGCACGACGGTGAACGGCGTCCGACGGCAGCGGGGCAAAACGTCGGACATGATGTTCGACATTCCGCACTTGATCGCGACGGCGAGTCGGTGCATGACGCTGTCCGTGGGGGACGTCATCGCGACGGGGACGCCCGCGGGCGTGGGCGCGGGGATGAGCCCGAAAGGGTGGCTGAAAGTCGGCGACGCGTGCGAGGTCACGGTGTGGGGCGTGGGGACGCTTCGAAATGTGGTCGTGGAGCGGTCGTGAGGGAGGTCGCGATGCCATCGATCGATCGATCGAACGAACGAACGATCTTTGAAACGGTAATCCTATGATGAGCGTTTACTTGCGAAGTACGGAAATACTTCCGAGTGTATTGTATTCTATTCTGTGTTGTGTATACACGTCTCGTGGTAAAACGTCGTCGTCGTCGTCGTCGTCGTCGTCGATCTAATTCGAGCGGCGGAACCGCTTTCGCGCCCGGAGGGCGACTTCGTAAAAAATGAATCATCTCCACCGCCGTCGCGCGCGCGTCACGACCCCTGCGACTTCGTCCCGCCCGAGGAATCCTGCCCTTGCGCCATGAAGTCCAGCTCGCTCGCGGTCCTCTGCAAGAACGACTTCAAAAAATCGTCGCTCGACCCGGGGTTATTATTGAACTCCGACATCAACCGCGACAGATCGCTGCTGTACTGCCTCCGCGGGCCGCTGCCCCCCGCCGCCGCGTGCCCCCCCGCGTGGTGCCCCCCCGCGTGATGCGGCACCGTGCCCGGGTGCGGCGCCCTCGCGTCGTGCATCGCCGCGTGCCCCACGAACGGACCGGGACCGCCGTGATGCGCGTACATTCCGGGCCCGCCGTGGGGACCGCCCATCGGTCCTCCGGGGCCCCCGGGCCCCATCATGAGGGCCGTTCTATACGAGCGAACGTCGGGGTGGAGTTCAAAGGCGTCAGAGGTGGAGTTGAAAGGCATCGCGGGCGGGGATTGAAACCGAGGGGTGGTCGGAGAGATGCGCCGGGAAGTAAAGTCCTTAAGGAACGGCGTTCACCACGCGAACGGGGTCGTATGGGGACCAGTGTATAGAACGCACCCGGGCCCCATCATCATCCCGTCGGGTCCGGGACCCATCCCGCCGGGTCCGTACGCGCCGGGATACATACCGTACGGAAGAGGCTGTCCGTACATCATCCCCCCGCCGCCGTGCATCATCGGCACGCCCCCCGGACCGTGACCCGGCGGGCCGCCGTGTTGTTGTTGGCTCTTCATCGCGTGGTGGCCGCCGCCGTACTGCGCCGCGTGCGCCGCCGCCGCCGCCGCGCGCGCGGCGACGTGGTGCGGGTGATACGCCTGCGCGACGGGAAAATGTCCTCCGTGTTGACTCACGCCGCCGCCCGGTCCGGGGGTCGCGTACGGGTCGCCCGGGTGCTGCGGCGCGCGCGCGGGCCCAGCAGCGCCGTGGGTCCGATACTTCTCGTCGACGCCGCCGCCCCCCCCCGCGGCGTCGCCCCCGCGTCCGCCGCTCTGTTGATGCGCCGCTTGACGCGCGGCGGCGGCCGCGTTTGCCGCCGCCGCCGCCGCCGCCGCCGAGGGAATGTTCCCGGCGTCGAGCTCGACGTCCGTGGGAACGATGAGCGGCGTGCCTCGCGGGTACCCGCTCGCGCTGCAGCTCGGAGGGCCCTCGAACGTCTGCGCGAGCTGCGTCGCCGTGATGCCGTACTTGGACAGCTCCTCCTCGTTCAGCAGCCACTCCGCGGCTTGCCGCTTTTCGCGCTTGCAAAACAGCGCGTTCACCTCGTCGTGGTCCAGCTGCACCCGCCCGGACGTGGCGATGTAAAACATCACGCGGAAGAAGGGCTCCACGCGCGCGTTCTCGTACCAGTACCCGCCCTCCGAGAACGTCTCTCCGTACGTCTCGACGAGGAACCGATCGAACGCTTTCCGGTACCCCAACCCGTCGCGCGCGATGAACGCGTTCGACCCCCCCGCGCGCAAGATGGCCGTCGTGAACCGCGCGATCGTCCGTCTCCGGTCCGCGCGCTTCGGGTTCTTCGTCTTCGCCTTCCCCTCCGCGCTCGTCGTCGTCGTCGTCGTCGTCGCCGCCGTCGACGCCGTGGCAGCCGCGGTATTCTTCGGGGTCGAGGGCGGGGGGAACGTGACGTCGATCCGCGCCGCCGCCGGCTCCGTCTTCGTCTTCGCCGACGCGTCGTCGTCGTCGTCGTCCGCGTTCGCGTTCGTCGGCGGCGCCGCGGCGCGCAGGGACCCGAGGGAATCGACGCGCGGCGGGTTCGCGTCCCCGAGTCGAGCCGCGTCCACCTCCGACGCGGATGGTATCCTCCGCGGCCGCTTCCCGTGATCGCTCGCTCCCGCGCCGTTCACCGCCGGGCGTTTGCTTCCGGCGATGTGTTGACCGTCGGCGCGGACGGTCGTCGCGTCTCGCGAGTGGTGCCTCCGCGGCGGATGCGGTTGCGGATGCGAATTGGCGTTGGCATGATGCGCGCCGGGATTCGCCGCGGGATTCGCGCCCGTCGCTACTCCGGCGCCGACGCGCGTCGCCCCGGACGCGGCTTCCCCGGTCTCGACGCTCGCCTTCGCCTGCGACCCCCCCCCCGCGACGAGCCCGCCGTGCGCGAGCGGGTTGAGCGACGGCGACGGCGTGGGTGGGTCTCTTCCCCCCGCCGCGGCGCGCGCGAGCGACGCGAACGCGGATTCGCTCTGCGGGACGCCGTCGAAGAGCAGCGGCAGGGGCTCGTCGGGGGTGTCCGTGCCCTTGAGCAGCGATCCGATGAAATCGACCGTGGACTGCCGCGCGAGGACGTGCTCGTGCGCGGCCGCGGCGCGCGCGGCCATGACCTTGTCGTCCTGCGCGTCGGAGGAGGAGGAGGGAAGCGGGAGGAGGCGCGGGGGTGAGAAGAGAACACACAGAACGAGGGCGCGCGGGCGGAGGGAAAATCGATCGATCGACGCTTCGACGGCGGTCCCGCCGCCGACGCGTTCCGCGCGAGGGCGCGCGCGGCGGCGACGCGGCGACGCGCGAAGACGCGGCCGTCGCGCGGGAATGAATCGGGCGCGCGTCGGCATCGGGCGAGCGCGCGCGCACCTTCCCGGGGGCGATGAGATCTACCGTCATCCTCGCGGCCGGCGGGACGGTCCGTCGCGACGCGCGTTCGAAGAGGCGGGACGAGAATGCAATGCGACGCCCTCGCGCGCGCTTCGACGACGCCGCGCGTCCGCGCGCGTGGACGCGTCCGATGCGCGAGCTACCTCGCGCGGTTTCTTCGAGCGTCTGCGCGCTCGGTCTCTGCGGAGACGAGCGGCGGGCGCGCGTCGCGTTGTCCCCGCCGGCGGCGGATGTTAGCGCTCAACCTCCGTGCAGAGCCGCGTGGAGGCTTGATCTCGAATTTGATCTAGAATTCGCGGACGTGGGACGGCACCGACGGCACCCTTCGTATGGAAACCAGTCAGGAAGGAGTAGGTTTTCGCGTACTACGTCCTGACGAGTCCATAACCTAGTCTAACGAGGGCTTTTTGGCACCCGCGTGTGCCGTGCCGCCTTCGGCCTTCCCCGAGACCGTAACGCGACGAGACGGAAAGGGTCGACGGCGCGCGCGCGAGGGCAGAGCGCGTCGACGCGGTACGGTGGATTCGAACCGACCGCTCGATCGCGCGTCCGTCGCGCGCTCGGAGTGAGCGCGCGCGTTTGGTTCGGCGAAGAGAGGTCGCGCGAGGCGAGCGCGCGCGAGTCCGGGCGAGCGATCGACCCGGCGTCGCGCTCTTAATCGGGAAACTTCTTCCGCGAGCGCGCGCGCGAGAGGGAATTCGTTCGACCCGAGAGGGGCGGTCGCGATGGCGGACCCGCGCATGATATACATCGCCGGAAAGGTGCGCGCGATCGAACCCTCGACGACCCCTCGACGCCAGGCCGCCGCGGCGCGCGCGCGATGCGGGATCCCCCTCCCCTCCCCCGCGCGCGACTCGCGCGCGCGCCGACCCCGCGATGCGTCTCGTCGCTGCCCCGTCGTCGCCGTCGCGCGCGATCGATGATCGATCGGTCGCGCGCGTCGCCGACCGATCCGCTCTCCCGATCGAACGCCGCTTCCTCCCTCGTCGCCCCACGATCTGACCCGCGCATCCCCCGCGATCCCCCCCCCGCCGCCATCAGGTCGCGGAGTCGTTCGGGCTCACCGCGGAGGAAGCGAGCGCGGCGCTGACGCCGTTCGACGAGGACGTCAAGGCGTTCTACGACGCGAACGGACCGCCGAAATTGCTCCTCTACCATCAGACCCCGGAGACGTCGTCCGGGCCGGACGGCGAGTTCGCGCCCGTGCCCGGCGCGCCGAAGAAGCTCTTCCTCACCTCCGGCGAGGTGGACTCCCTGCGCGAGCACGCGCTGTACTTCATTCGCGTCAACCCCAAGGGCGTGACGGAAAAAACCGTGGAGCAGGACGTCATGGCGGGCGAAGTCCGCGGCGGCGCGCTCGCGTCGTTCCGCGCGCTCGTGAGCAACCTCTTCGTCCCGGTCCTCGCCAAGCAGCATCTCAGCGTGTGGGGGAAGAACACGGAGGAGGGCGCGCAGGAGTTTGTCCACGGCGCGGCTAAGTTTGGCGCGGCGCTCGCGGAGGCGGCGACGTCGCTCAAAGGGGGCGTGGAGCTCAAGAAGCCGGACAAGACGATCGTTCCGAACGTGGACATCAAGCCCGCGGACTTCGCGGTCGCGGCGACGGACGTCACGATCGCGGGGCACTTCGAGGACGTCCTGGAGGACTGGTGCGAGAAGACGGAGGCGCTGCTGTCGGAGAACGAATCCGAGCGGAGAGAGAGCGCGGACGCGGGTCCGGACACGGAGCTCGAGTACTGGCGCTCGCGGATGGCCAAGTTCAACTCCATCACGGAGCAGCTCAAGAGCAAGGAGTGCAGGACCGTGCTCGGCGTCGCCGTCGCCGCGCGATCGAAGGCGCACCGCAGGTGGAAGGACATCGACATGGCGGTGACGGACGCGGCGAACGAGAGCAAGGACAACGTGAAGTATCTCACGACGCTGGAGAAGCCGCTCGAGCCTCTGTACGTCGGGACGCCGCAGGCCATCGTGGACGGACTCCCGGTGTTGCTGAACTCGGTGAAGATGATGCACACGGTGGCGAGGTACTACGCCACCCCGGAGCGGATGACGACGCTGTTTCGGAAGATCAGCAACCAGCTCGTGACGCGGTGCTCCGAGTTTGTTGGCGAGGGCGGGAACCTGTGGAACCAGAACCGGCCCGCGCTCCTAGACAAGATGCGCCTGTGCGTCAAGATGGAGAAGCGGTACAAGGAAGAGTACGCCGCGTCGAAGGAGCGCCTCGCGCAGCAGCCGAAGGGGAGGCAGTTTGATTTCGACAACGAGCGGATCTTCATCAAGTTTGAGCTCTTCATCAAGCGCTGCAACAAGCTCCTCGACTTGTACAGCACGATCATGCAGTTCACGGCGTTGGCGTCGAACACGCACATCGACGGCATGGGCGACATGATCAAGAAGTTCTTCCTGGTCGTCGAGGAGCTCAAGCGCAAGCCGTACGACCTCTTGGACTTCACGAAGAACGCGTTCGATCGCGATTACCTCGAGTTCAACGTCCACGTCCACGAGCTCGAGACGAACTTGCAGGACTTCATAAACGCGAGCTTCGAGAACATCACGTCCACGGAGCACGCGCTGAACTTGCTTCGGCAGTTCCAGGAGATTCTTCACAGGGATTCGCTGAGGCGGGATCTGGACAACAAGTACATGGTCATCTTCAAAAATTACGCGCAGGATTTAGACGCGGTGCAGAAGATTTACGAAAAGTCCAAGCACTCGCCGACGCTCCCGCGGAACGCGCCGCCGGTCGCGGGCGACATCATGTGGTCCCGGCAGCTCCTGCGGAGGATCGAAGAGCCCATGCGAAAGTTCGCGACGAACGAGACGATCATGAAGATGAAGGACAGCAAACGCACCGTGAAGACGTATAACACCGTCGCCAAGGCGTTGGTCGCGTTCGAGACGCTCTGGCTTCAAGCGTGGGTGAAATCGATCGAGAGCAGCAAGGCTGGGCTTCAAGCGACGCTCATCGTGAAGCACCCGGAGACCGGGGACCTTCTCGTGAACTTCGACAAGGAGATCATACAGCTCATGCGCGAGACGCGGTATTTGCAGCGCATGGGGATAGAGGTGCCGGAGTCGGCGAAGATGGTGCTGCTCCAGGAGGAGAAATTCAAGGAGTACTACAACCAGCTGTCGTACGCGCTCAAAGAGTACGACCGCGTCATGGACTTGATCGTCCCGGTGGTGAAACCGCTGATGAAGTCTCACCTCGACGACATCGAGAAGAAGCTGCACCCGGGGATGTACGTCCTGACGTGGTCGTCGATGAACATAGATGGCTACCTCCACCGCGTGCACAAGGGCCTCGCGCATCTCGAGCTGATGATCGGCAAGGTGAACGACATGCTCGAGAACCGGATCGATGCCAACTTGAAGGCGGTGGCGCGGCTGCCGCTCGTGACGCTGCCATCGGACGAGTCGTTCACCTTTGACGACTTTTTGTCGAGGCAGAGCAAACACGTCAAGAAGCAAACCGCGGCGCTCGTCGTGAAAAATTCCGAAATCGAACGCGGCTGCGCGGACCTGTGCGATTTGATCGCGTCGTTCCCGCTCGACGGCGACCAAAAGTTCGACGCCGCGAAAGTCCAAGACTTCACCGAGCACTACGCCAAGCTCATGTATCAGGCGATTCTCGCGGCCACGCGGAAGGCGTTCGCGGCGATGAAGAAGCGGCTGGGAAGCCGAAGCAGCGGCGGTTTCTTATTCGTCGAACGGCCCTTCTTCGACGTCGACGTCGAGCTCACGATCCCGAACGTCTCGATGAACCCGACGCTGGAGGACATCCAAGGCGCGATCAACGCGACCGCGAAGAAGGTTCTGAAGATCTCCGAGTCGCTTCACATGTGGGGCGGCGCGCCGGGAAAGAGCGACGGGCGAACCTTCCACGAGTGGATCGCGTCGGATAAAGAGATTGTAAAGTCCGTGCTCCTGCTCACCGGGTCCATCGAGGGCACGAAGGCACAGGTGATGGAGTACATCGGGACGTTCTCAAGGTTCGACTTTTTGTACATGCAGGACCTCCAGGCGGAGTACAAGAAGTTCATGGACACGAGCCCGAGTCTGGAGGCGTTCGAGAACGAGCTGAAAAAATACATGGCGATCGAGGACGAGATTCAACTCATCGCGCCGGTGCATAACATCGGCGCGATGAGCCTCGAGACGCAGCCGATGAAGTACTCCTTGAAAGCGGAAGCCGCGGCGTGGAAGAAGCAGTTCGCGAAGAACCTGCACTCGCAGGGGAAGCAGCAGCTGAAGCAGATCCACGACTACATGCGAGAGACGACGCTTCACCTGAACCGCAAGATCGAGGACCTCGAGGACGTTCGCAAGGTGATGGGGGTCCTGAAGGAGATCCGCGACCGCGAGAGCGATATCGATAGCATCATGGTCCCGATCGAGGAGATTTACGCGCTGCTCGGGCGCTACCAAGTCGTCGTGCCGAAGGAAGAGACGGAGACGGTGTCCGAGCTCCGCTACGGTTGGAACAAGATGAAAGTGCTCGCGGTGCAGGTCACGGAGAACCTCGGCAGGATGCAGGTTGGGTTCAAGAGGGAGCTGATCAAGGAGGTGAAGGTGTTCGTCGTCGACGCGGTCGAGTTTCGCGCGGACTGGGACGCGAACGGGCCGGCGGTTCCCGGGTTGGAGCCCATGGAGGCTGTCGCGAGGCTCAAAAAATTCACGCAGATGTTCGAAGTCCGCAAGCGCAAGTGGGACAACTACAGCAGCGGCGAGGAACTGTTCGGGTTGTCCGTGACGCAGTACCCGGAGCTAGAGAAAACGGAAAAAGAGTTGGCGTTACTCGACCGCCTGTACGGCCTCTTCACGTCCGTGCTCACGACGATCGACGGCTACGCGGACATCCTGTGGACCGAAGTTGTCTCCGACATGGACGCGATGACGGAACAGGTGACGCAGTTCCAGGCGCAGTGCCGGAAACTCCCCAAGTCGCTCCGCGACTGGCAAGCGTACGAGGACTGCCGAAGGAAGATCGACGAGTTCCTCGAGATGCTTCCGCTGCTTCAGGCGCTCGGGTCGAAGGACGTGCGGCCGCGGCACTGGGACGAGCTCATGACGCTCACCGGCGTCAAGATGGACCTGAGCGAGGAGACGTTCAAGCTCTCGGACCTCCTCGGCTGCGGTCTCCTAAAAGTCGCGGAGGAGGTGGAGGAGCTCACCGCGGGCGCGGTCAAGGAGGCGCAGGTGGAGACCAAGCTCGCGTCGATCGACGCCGACTGGGCGGAGGTGACGTTTGCGTTTCAGCCGTATAAGAACCGAGGCGAGGTGTGCCTCGCCGTCGCGCCCACCGCGGAGCTCATCGAAAAGCTCGAAGACTCGCAGATGGCGCTCGGGTCCATGGCCACGAACCGGTACTCCGCGCCGTTCAAGGAAGAAGTCCACGAGTGGATCGCGAAGCTGTCCACCGTGGGCGAGATCATCGAGATGTGGCTCGTCGTGCAAAACATGTGGATGTACATGGAGGCGGTGTTCAGCGGCGGGGACATCGTGAAGCAGCTCCCGCTCGAGGCGAAGCGGTTTCAGAACATCGACAAGCAGTTCATCAAGGCGGTTCAAAACGCGGTGGAGACGCAGAACGTCGTGGAGGTGTGCTACGTGAACGATCTCATGACGAACACGCTGCCGATTCTCACGGAGCAGCTCGAGCTGTGCCAAAAGTCGCTCACGGCGTTTTTGGACACGAAGAGAGCCGAGTTCCCGCGCTTTTACTTCGTCTCCGACCCGACGTTGCTGGAGATTTTGTCCCTGGGTTCGGACCCGCAGTCGGTGACGCCGCACTTCCAGTCCGGTCTGTTCGACTCCCTGACCGAGGTGACGTTCGACAAGGTGGACAAGACGAAGATGCTGGAGATGTTTTCGCAGCAGGGCGAGTGCGTGAAATTCATCGAAAACGTCGACGGCATCCTCGAACCGCGGCCGGTCATCGCGCAAGGGAACATCGAGGTGTGGCTCCAGTCGCTCGTCGACGGCATGCAGCGCTCGATTCGCGGCGTCATCAAGATGGCCAACTCGGCCGTGCACGAGCAGGATCTGGAGACGTTCATCTTCGGGCACCCGGCGCAGATTTCGCTTCTGGGGATTCAGTTCCTCTGGACCTCGGACATGCAGGGCGCGCTCTCCATCGCGAAGAAGGATAAGACGGCCATGCAAAAAGCGTTTAAGAAGCAAGACGGCCTCCTGAAGGAGATGATCGTCATCACGACGCGCTCGAACCTCGGAAAGAACGAACGCAAGAACCTCGAGACGGTGATCACGGTGCACGTGCATCAACGAGACACCTCGGAGGACCTCATGAAGAAAAAAGTTCGCGACATCGCTGACTTCGAGTGGGCGAAGCAGTGCCGTTTTTACTGGCGCGACGAGATGAACACGGTGATCATCTCGATCTGCGACGTGGATTTCGAGTACTCGTACGAGTACCTCGGCGTGAAGGAACGCCTCGTGATCACGCCGTTGACGGACATCTGCTACGTCACGCTGTCTCAGGCGCTCGGGATGTTCCTCGGCGGCGCCCCCGCGGGTCCCGCGGGGACGGGAAAGACGGAGACGACGAAGGATCTCGGGAACACGCTCGGGAAGTTCGTCGTCGTCTTCAACTGCTCCGATCAGATGGATTACAAGGGCATGGGGAAGATTTACCGCGGGTTGGCGCAATCGGGTCTCTGGGGTTGCTTCGACGAGTTCAACCGCATCAACCTCGACGTCTTATCCGTGTGCGCGCAGCAGGTGTTTTGCGTCCTTCAGGCGATTCGCGAGCGCAAGAAGCAGTTCATCTTCACCGACGGCGCGAAGGTGTCCCTCGACCCTCGCGTCGGGTTCTTCATCACGATGAACCCGGGCTACGCCGGTCGCCAGGAGCTCCCCGAAAATCTTAAATCGCTCTTCCGCGGCGTGACGATGATGGTGCCGGATCGACAGATCATCAAGAAGGTCAAGCTCGCCGCGTGCGGGTACCAACAGAACGAGTTTCTCGCGAAGAAGTTTTTCGTCCTCTACGGCCTGTGCGAGCAGCAGCTCTCGAAGCAGGCGCACTACGATTTCGGTCTCAGGAACATTTTATCCGTGTTGCGCACGATGGGCGCGTCGAAGCGCGAGAACCCGGGGAAATCCGAAATTTTCCTCGCGATGCGATCGTTGCGCGACATGAACATGTCCAAGTTTGTCGCCGAGGACGTGACGCTCTTCTTATCCCTCATCGGAGACATCTTCCCGGGGGTGAAAGCGGACAAGGCCACGTTCCCGGACATCGAAGCCGCGATGGCGAAAGTCGCGACCGAGCGCGGTCTACAGCTCCACCCGACGTGGCTCAGCAAGTGCGTGCAGCTGTACGAGACGTACCTCGTGCGGCACGGGATCATGGTCGTCGGCCCGACGGGCGCGGGGAAGACGGCGATTTGCGAGACGCTCGCGGGGGCGCTCACGGAGACGGGGGTCAAGCACAACATCTGGCGGATGAACCCGAAGGCGATCACCGCGCCGCAGATGTTCGGAAGGATGGACGCCGCGACCGGGGACTGGACCGAGGGCGTCTTCGCGGTGCTGTGGCGACGGGCCGCGAAGGAGAAGAAGAACAACACGTGGATCGTGCTCGACGGCCCCGTCGACGCGATTTGGATCGAAAATTTGAACACGGTGCTGGACGACAACAAAGTCCTGACGCTCGCCAACGGCGACCGCGTGCAGATGTCCGGAACGATGAAGGCGATGTTCGAGCCGGAAAACCTGAACAACGCATCCCCCGCGACCGTTTCACGCGCCGGCATCATTTTCGTCTCCGAGACGGAGCTCACGTGGAAGCCCGTCGTCGCGTCGTGGCTAGCGACGCGCAAGGCGACGGAATCCGCGGCGCTCGCGCCGCTCTTCGAAAAGTACGTCGACGAGCTCACGCACGAGATCGCCATGACGTGCAAGCCCGTCATGAGCGGGATCCCGTGGGAGCACGTGTCTCGAGACTTTTGCTCCGTGACGACGTTGCTCACGATGCTGAAAGCCGTCCTCGGAGCCGCAGCGCCGGGCGGCGAGTCGCTCAGCGAGGGCCACTACGAACGGCTGTTCATCTACTGCACGTGCTGGGCGATCGGAGGGATGCTTCCGCTGGAAGACCGACCCAAGTTCAACAAGAAGCTCGTGGAGCTGAGCGCCGGGAACACGCCGGCGTGGCGCGACGAGGAGAGAGACACGTTTTTCGAGTACTACGTCGACGACGAGAACGCGGAGTGGAACCACTGGGCCGACCGAGTACCGGATTGGCATTACCCCGTGGAGCAAGAGACGCCGAAGTTCGCGTCTCTCGTGATCCCCACGCTCGACTCCGTGCGTCTGGAGTACGTGCTGAAGATGGTCTCCAGCGTCGGGAAGAGCTCGCTGTTCGTCGGCGGGCCGGGAACCGCAAAGACGACGACGATTCAGTCGTTCATGGACTCGTTCGACCCGGAGGAGATGGCGTCCAAGGCGATCACGTTTTCGTCGCTCACGACGCCGGAAATTTTCCAAGTCACCGTGGAGGCGTCCGTGGAGAAGCGCCAGGGCAGGACGTTCGGCCCGCCCGGCGGGAAGAAGCTCCTCGTATTCGTGGACGACATCTCCATGCCCGCGATGAACGATTGGGGCGACCAGACCACGAACGAGATCGTCCGGCAGCTCTTGGAGCAAGGCGGCATGTACTCGTTGGAGAAGCCCATCGGAGACATGAAGATGATCGTCGACTGCCAGTACCTCGCGGCGATGAACACCCCGGGCGGCGGCAAGAACGACATCCCGAACCGCCTGAAGCGACACTTCGCCATCTTTAACGTGCCGTTGCCGTCCGTCGCGGCGATCAACAACATCTTCGGGCAGCTCGTCGCCGGGCGATTCGCGGCGGACGCGTGCGGCGAAGACCTTCACGACGCCGCGCTCAAGCTCGTCCCGATCACGATCGAGCTGTGGAATAAAGTCCAGACGAAGATGCTGCCCACTCCCGCGAAGTTTCACTACCTGTTCAACATGCGCGAGCTCTCGAAGGTGTTCCAAGGGTTGATCCTCGCGGAGAGAGACCGGTTCAAGCTCGGCGTGGAGCACCCGCCGTTCGGCGGCGACGTCACCACTCCGGACGGGTACCTGGTGGCCGCGTGGCGGCACGAGTGCGAGCGCGTGTTCGTCGATAAGCTCACCACGTACGAGGACAAGAACTGGACGGACGAGCTCATCACGAGCATCATCAAGAAAACCTTCAGCTCGGATATCACGAAGCAGGTAAAGGAGCGGGTGTATTTCGTGGACTTTTTACGCCCGCCGATTTACGACGAAGACACCGGAGAGACGATCGACGCGAACCCGTCCTTCTACGAGTCGACGATCTCGTTGGACGCGGTGAAAATAGTCGCGGACGAGAAGATGCGGCTCTTCAACGAAACCTCGAAGACGTACAAGCTCGATTTGGTGCTGTTCCAAGACGCGCTGCTGCACATGATGCGCATCGCGAGACTCTTGGCGATGGATCGCGGCTCGGCGCTTCTCGTGGGCGTCGGAGGGAGCGGGAAGCAGTCGCTCACGCGGCTCGCGGCGTACATCTCCGGCGCGTTCACGTTCCAGATCACGATCAGCAAGCAGTACAACCAGGTAGCGCTGTTCGAGGACCTCAAGGCGCTGTACAAGGTTGCCGGTCTGAAGGGCCAAAAGGTGTGCTTCATCTTCACCGACGCGGAGATCAAGGACGAAGGCTTTCTCGAGTTTATCAACCAGATTTTGATGACTGGCGAGGTGGCGGGGCTGTTCCCCAAGGACGAGATGGACATGATCTTGAACGATATGCGCGCGGTGATGAAGCGCGAGGCGCCGTCGATCATTGACACGATGGAGAACCTCTACGCGTTCTTCATGGGACGCGTTCGGGATAACCTGCACACGTGCCTGTGCTTCTCGCCCGTCGGGGATAAGTTTTCCACGCGCGCGAGAAACTTCCCGGGTCTCATCAACGGCTGCACGATCGACTGGTTCCTCCCTTGGCCGCAAGAGGCGCTCATCGCGGTGTCCACGAAGTTCATCGGCGACTTCCAGATGGCGTGCGACGACAAGGCGAAGCACGAGCTCCAGAAGCACATGGGGTTCGTCCACGTCGCGGTGACGCGCGCGTGCAAGGAGTACTTTGAAAAGTTCCGCAGAAACGTCTACGTGACGCCGAAATCGTACCTGTCGTTCATCGACGGCTACCGCGCGCTGTATCAGCGGAAGCTCGACGAGGTCAAACAGCTCGCGGACAAGATCAACAGCGGTCTGAACAAGCTGTTCGAAGCGAAAGCGGACGTGAAGAACATGCAGATTGAGCTCACGCAGAAGAACAAAGACCTCGCCGTCGCGCAAAAAGACGCCGCGGATCTCCTCAAGGAAATCTCCGCCTCCACCGCCATCGCGGAGAAGGAAAAGGCGCGCGTCGCGGTCATCGTCGAGGGCGTCTCCGCGAAAGCGGACGAGATCTCCATCGTGAAGGAGGACGCCGAGCGCGACTTGGCCGCGGCGAAGCCCGCGCTCGACGCCGCGGTGGAAGCGTTGAACTCAATCTCGGCGAAGGACATCGGCGCGCTCAAGGCGCTGAAAAACCCGCCCGACGTCGTCAAGCGCATCTTCGACGCGGTGCTCGTGCTGCGACAGTTCCCGATGTCGTCGCCGGTGACGTGGCACGACGTCAAGGGCGCGATGGTCATCAACGGCTCGGACAACTACAAAGACGTCACGATGAAGATGATGGGCGACACGCAGTTTTTGGGCAAGCTGATGGCGTTTCCGAAGGAGCAGATCAACGACGAGACGTGCGAGCTCCTCGAGCCGTACCTGCAAGCCCCGGACTTCAACTTCGAGATGGCGCAGAAGGCGTCCGGCTCCGTCGCGGGTCTGTGCAACTGGTGCGAGGCGATGAAGACGTACCACTTCGTCGCGAAGGTTGTCGACCCGAAGATCATCATGCTGAGAGCCGCGGAGGCGGAGCTCAAGGTTGCGATGAAGGCGAAGCAAGCCGCGGAGGACGAGCTCGCGAAAGTGCAGGCGAACCTCGACGAGATGCAGGCCAAGTTCGACGCGGCGATGGCGCAGAAGCAAGCGCTCGAGGACGACGCCGCGGCGTGCCAGAGGAAGATGGAAGCCGCGACGACGCTCATCTCCGCGCTCGCGGGGGAGGAGGTGCGCTGGACGGAGCAGTCGAAGCAATTCGACTTGCAAATCCAACGACTCACGGGCGACTGCGCGCTCGCGTCGTCGTTCGTGTCCTACCTCGGCCCGTTCAACAAGGAGTTCCGCGATTTGCTCTTGAGCCGCGACTTTTACGGCGACTGCGTCGAGCGCGGCATCCCGGTCACGGAGAACCTCGACGTGACGAGGTTCCTCGTCGACGAGTCCGAGATCGGCGAGTGGAACCTCCAGGGCTTGCCCACGGACGAGCTGTCCATTCAAAACGGCATCATGGTGACGCGCGCGACGCGGTACCCCGTGCTCGTGGACCCGCAAGGCCAAGGCACGGCGTGGATCAAGTCCAGAGAAGAGATGAACATGCTGCGCGTCACGTCCCTCGGCGAGAAGCAGTTCAGGAACCACCTCGAGGACGCGATGAGTTACGGCAAGCCGATGCTCATCGAGAACATCGAGGAGGAGCTCGACCCGATGCTGGATCCGGTGCTCGAAAAACGCGTCGTCCGAAAGGGCAAGTCGCTCATCATCCAGATGGACAAAGAGATCGACTTCACGGAGACGTTCAGCCTGTTTTGCACGACGCGGCTTCCGAACCCGCACTACTCTCCGGAGATGAGCGCGAAGGTGACGATCATCGACTTCACCGTCACCGCCGTCGGCCTCGAAGACCAGCTCCTGGGAAAGCTCATCCTGAAGGAGAAGCACGAGCTCGAGGAACAGCGGCAGGCGCTCGTGGAGGAGGTGACGTCGTACAAGAAGAAGATCAAACAGCTCGAGGACGATCTGCTCTTCCGCCTGTCCAACTCCACGGGGAATCTGTTGGACGACGTCGAGCTCATCGACGTCCTCAACAACACGAAGCAGACGGCGCAGGACGTCAACGAGAAGCTCGCCACCGCGTCGGAGACGAACATCAAAATCACCGAGGCGTGCGAGGAGTACCGCCCGGTGGCGCACCGCGCGACGCTGATTTACTTCCTCATCGCGGAGTTCGCGACGTGCAACGTGATGTACCAGACGTCGTTGAAGCAGTTCAACCAGCTCTACGAGCTCGCCATCGACAACGCGGAGCAGGCGAAGATGCCGGCGAAGCGCATCGCGAACATAATCTCGCACATGACGTACAGCATCTACCTGTACATCCAACGCGGGCTGTTCGAGCGGCATAAGCTGACGTTCGCGCTGATGATGACGAATAAGATTCTCGTGAGCTCCGGCGAGCTCGGCGCGGAGCTCGTGTCCGTGTTCCTCAAGGGTGGGGGCTCGCTCGACATCAAGTCCGTCGCGAGAAAGCCGAAGGATTGGATCCCCGACCGGTGCTGGCTCGACATCGTCGCGCTCTCGAAGCTTCCGAGCTTTTCCGACATTCTCGAGTCGTTCCAACGCAGCGACGGGCTGTGGCGGCGGTGGTACGATCTCGAAGCCCCGGAGGGAGCGGACGTTCCGGACTTCCAGGACCGAATCACGAAGTTTGAGAAGATGATGATCGTCAAGGCGCTTCGAGAGGACCGAACGATGGTCGCAGCGCAAGAGTACATCGCCGACGCCATCGGCCAACAGTTCGTCGAGTCCGTGCCTCTGTCCATGGAGAAGACGTGGGAAGAGACGACGCCGTTCGTGCCCGTGATTTGCATCCTGTCGCCCGGCGCGGACCCGACGAAGCTCATCGAGGAGCTCGCGAAGCGGAAGAAGATCAAGATGGAGGGCGTCTCCATGGGCCAAGGCCAGGAGATCGTCGCGCGGAAGATGATGACGACGGCGACGCTGGAGGGGCAGTGGGTGTTGCTCCAAAACACCCACCTCGGTCTCAACTACCTCACCGAAGTCGAGACGTACCTCACGAAAGCGGAGGAACTCCACGAGGACTTCCGCCTCTGGATCACCGCGGAGCCGCACCCGGAGATCCCCATCGGGCTGTTGCAGATGTCCATCAAGCTCACGAACGAAGCCCCGGTTGGCATGCGCGCGGGGTTGCGAAACTCGTACGCGTGGGTCAACCAGGACATGCTCGACGCCGTCGGGCGGTACGAGTGGCGGCAGATGCTCTTCGTGATGTGCTACATGCACTCGATCGTCCAGGAGCGCAGGAAGTTTGGCCCGATCGGGTGGAACATCTTGTACGAGTTCAACCAGTCCGACCTCAGCGCGTGCGTGCAGTTTCTGCAGAACCACACGATGGAGATGGACGCCAAGAAGCTCAACTCGCCGACGTGGCCGACGGTGACGTACATGATCTCGCAGATTCAGTACGGCGGGAGAATCACGGATCCGTTCGACGAGCTTCTCATGGACACGTACGCGGGGCAGTACTTCAACAAGGGGTCGCTGGAGAAGGGCCTCGAGCTGTTCAAAGGGTACGTCGTCCCCGACGAGACGGACATCGCCAAGTTTCGCGCCGCGATCGAAGACCTCCCGTCGCAGGAATCCCCCGAGATTTTCGGTCTGCACCCGAACGCGGACCTGACGTTCCGCACCCTCGCGGTCGCGGGCATGATCGACACGGTCGTCTCCACGATGCCCAAGGCTGGCGGCGGCGGCGGCGGGATGTCGCCCGAGGAAACCGTCGACGGCATCTGCGAAGACTTGCTCGGCAAGGTGCCGTCCGAGTTCCAACCCGAGGTCACGAAGGAGCTCCTCCGAAAGCTCCCGGGCGGGCCGACGCAGCCGCTGACGGTGCACCTGCGCCAGGAGATCGACCGCCTGAACATCATAATAAACCTCACGACGAAGACGCTCAGAGACTTGCGGCTGGCCATCGCGGGCACGATCGCGTTGGCGGGCGACCTCGTGGAGGCGTTGGACAAACTTTTCAACGCGAGCATCCCCTCCGCGTGGCTCAAAAAGTCATGGGAGTCGTCCACGATCGGGTCGTGGTTCCAAGGGTTACTCCGCAGGCACGATCAACTCGACCGGTGGCTCCACCGCGGGCGCCCGAAAGGGTACTGGCTCACCGGGTTCTTCAACCCGCAAGGGTTCCTCACCGCGATGAAGCAGGAGGTGAACCGGCTGCACGCCAAGGATAAGTGGGCGCTTGACGACGTGGTGATGACGTCGGAGGTGACCAACCCGCCGAAAGAGATCGAACAGCTCAAGGACGAGCCGAAGGAGGGCGTGTACGTGTACGGGCTGTTCCTCGAGGGGTGCCGCTGGGACGGGAAGATGAATTGCCTCGTCGACTCGGAGCCGAAGAAGCTGTTCACGCCGCTGCCCGTACTGTACGTCACGGGGGTGCAGCAAAAGGATAAGCCGACGAAGAATGTCTTCGAGGCGCCGACGTACAAGGTGAAGAAGCGCACGGGGCTCAACTTCATCACGACGTTCACGGTGAGGACGCAGGAGCCGACGTCGAAGTGGGTCATGCGCGGCGTCGCGTTGCTCGCGTCTGTGGACTGATGAGTGATGAGGAGGAAGAGAAGGAGTTTACGACGCTACTGTACGCGAAAAAACTACGGTACGGTGAAGAAGAGGTAACTTAAGAAGAGAAGGTAGCATTTAATCCGCCTCTCGACGGCGCCGCTCCCCGCGAACCCGGTGTGCGCTCGCGTTTAGAACGCGGGTCGAACCGACGGGAGCGACGCGTCGTCGAAGCGATGAATTACGTAGCAGTTTTTACCCTAGCGATGTCAATACGCACGAGAGCGAATGACGTCGACGACGACTCGGATCTTAAAAAATAAATTCGTCCGCATCAACGCGAAGGCACCGCGAAGGCGTTCTCTACGCCGGAATGTACTGCTGCTCCGCGCTATTCGCGCCGTTCTTATAGTGCCCCTTGTACCACTCCACGAAAATCTTCAGACCGTCGTCCAGCGACGTCTTCGGCTCGTACCCGAGCTCCCTGCGCGCGCGCGAGATGTCCGCGTGCGTGAACGGCACGTCCCCGGTTTTCGGCATCGGGACGTACTCGCGAATCGCTTTTTTCCCCAAGTGCTTCTCCAACACCCCGACAAACTCGGAGACCGTCACCGGGGTCTTATTCCCGAGGTTATACACCCTAAACTTCGGCTTCGCGCCGTCCGGTTTCTTCCCCGACGCCTCCGACGTCTCCAGCGACGCGATTATGCCGGAGACGACGTCGCCGATGAACGTGAAATCTCTCGCGAGCTCCTTGGCCCCGCCGGCGTCGTCCTCGCCTTGAAAAATTTTGATCGGCTCCCCCTTCGCGATCTGATTCGCGAACGAAAAGTACGCCATGTCCGGCCGGCCGAACGCGCCGTACACGGTGAAGAATCGCAGCGCCGTGATCGCGACGCCGTGGATGTGGTTGTACGTGTGCGCGAGGAGCTCGTCCGCTTTCTTCGTCGCCGCGTACAGCGAAGCCGGCGTGTCCGTGACGTCGTCCTCCGAGAAGGGCACCTGTCGGATGGACGACGCGGAGAGACGCGATTCGATCGGTCGGCGGTGAGTTCTGATACGATACGATTGGATATGATTCGATGACGTGGCATGACGTGTGGTGACCGAGAGATAAGCACCGATGACGTGGCATCATGACGTGTGGTGGCCGAGCGAGAAGCACCGCACCTTCGTGTTCAGCCCGTACACGGACGACGACGACGCGAAGACGACGCTCGGCGTCGGACTCGTCCTGACCACCTCTTCCATCACGTTCACCATCCCCGCGACGTTCGAGTGCACGTACGCCCCCGGGTTCTTCGCCGCGTACCGCACCCCCGCCTGCGCGGCGAGGTGCAGGACGTGCGTGAACTTGCACGCGTCCAGGACGTCTCTCAGGACGTTTCGATCGTTGACGTCCGCCTCGACGGTGTGCACGCCTTTCGAGTCGAGCTCGCGCAGGCGCGCGCGTTTCAGCGACGTCGGGTAGTAGTCGTTGACGTTGTCCAGGCCGAGGACGCCGGCGCCGAGCTCGCGGAGCGCGATCGAGGTGTGGAAGCCGACGAAGCCCGCGCTGCCGGTGACGAGGACGACCATCGGTCCGCCCTCATCGCCGTCCTTCTTCGTCGATCGATCCGCGGCGGGATCTTTCCTCGGCGCGCACGACCGCTGCGCGGCGGCGACGTCGACGCGCGCGGGCGTGAACGAGGACACCGCGAGAATCTTCGACGACGACGACGAGGAGGAGGAGGACGCGAACGACGTCGCGGCGTGGCCGAACGAGCCGCCGCCGCGGACGCCGCCGGACGTCCCGAAGTCGCCGCCGTCGCTCGACGACGACGACGACGACGACGCGAAGAGGACGCGATGGAGGCAGAAGAGGACGATCGCGGCCGCGATCGCGCCGGCGCCGCGCATTCGGACGCGGTGCATCGCGCTGCTCGCGGCGCCCGCGCGCTTGCGATCGTTGAACAGGCCTCGCGTCGGGAGGACGTCGCCGCGCGGCATCTAGGGCGCGCGCGCGCGCGCGGGAGGGAGTGCGGCCGCGGTCGGCGGCGACGCGCACAAAGTCGGCGCCGTACGCCTCTCGTTGATGACTCGTCGCGCTCGCGCTCGCGGTCGGATCGGACGACGTCGCGTCGACTGTCGGCATTCCGCCATGCGCGTCGTCGCGGTCCTTCTCCTCCTCCTCGTCGTCGTCGTCGCCCCTGACGACGCGGCGGCGGGGGACGACGGCCCGCGCCGCCGCGGCCTCCTCCCCGTGCCCTCCGGCGACGTCGCGCTCAACTCCACCGCCGGCCTGGCGCGCCTCGCGAACGCGTCGCATCCCGCCGCGTTTCATCACATCGCGACGCACCTCGAGACGCAGCGGAACCAGGCGTTCTGCAGCGCGGCGACGTCGGTCACGATCCTCAACGCGCTCGCCGGCGCGGGCGTGGACGCGCCCGTGGACGGGTTCTACGCGCCCTACGCGTACTACACGCAGCGCGCGCTGTTCGAGAACGCGTGCGTGCGGCGCGCGAAGACGCACGTCTATCGCGTCAACATGTCGCCGAAATTCCTCGCGCGCGGCGGCGCGACGCTCGAGGAGTGGGCGCTGTATCTCTCCTGCTTCGTCGGGCAAGCGGGCGTCGCGCGACATCACGCGGACGCGAACGAGAACGACGCGAACGCGTTTCGCGTCGTCGTCAAGGCGACGCTCGCGGACGCGCCGAACGCGTTCATTGGGGTGAACTTTCGTCGCGTCGAGATCGGGGAGGCGGGCGGCGGGCACATGAGGCGCGTTCGTATTCACGCCGGTCCCCGTACGACCGCGTTGGCGTGGTGAACGCCGTTTCTTAAGGACTTTCGCGTCTCTCCGCGCGCCCCTCGCTGGTTTCAATCCCCGCCCTCGACGCCTTTCGACTCCGCCCCTGACGCCTTTCGACTCCGCCCGACGCCTTTCGACTCAAAGTCCGATCGGCGCGTACGACGACGCCGCGGACGCGATCCTCGTCATGGACGTGTCGAGGTACAAGTACCCGCCGGTGTGGACGCCACTGCGCGCGCTGCACGACGCGATGCTCGCGGTGGACGAGGCGAGCGGGAAGTCGCGCGGATGGGTCGTCGTTCGAAGAGGCGCAGGTGGGTTCAGAAGGAACCGTCGAGGACTTCATCGAAAACACTTTGCATTCTTTTCCCGCGCCGCGCGCCCCTCGCTGGTTTCAATCCCCGCCCTCGACGCCTTTCGACTCCACCCCTGACCCCGCCCGCCCGCCTTTGAACGCAATCCACCCACCCAGGGGAAACGCGCGTCCGCGACCTCGCGGTGCCGGGACCGGAGACGTGGCCGAGCGCGAGCGACCGCGCGGAGAAGAGAGTCGCGTGCTTGGACGCGGTCGACGACGAATACGACTGGGACGCGGTCATGAGATGCGAGAGGGTCCCGATCGCGCCTCATCCGTCCGACGACGACGACGTCGACAGGGCGCTCATCGCGGCGTTCGCGGTTATCTTCGCCTTTTTCGCCGGCGGCGGCGCGGTGGCGTTCGCCGCGTGGGTTCGCGAGAAGATGAGAAGCGAGGGGAAGTTCCGCGGGCACGTCGTCTTGGAGGACGTGGACTTCGACGACGACCTCTGAACCTCTGAACTTTTCTCACGGAGTAGATTGGAGAACGGCGCGAGCGGACGGCGCGCGCATCGCGTCGTGTACGTATAGTGTTCTGTTCTTTGCAATACGGTACGTAGACGTAGATTAACGGACGGCGAGTAGCGCGTGCGCCGGCGCGGCGTCGACGGAGGGACGAGACGCCATCCTTTTCCGCTCGCGAGGCGCCGCTCGCTCTTCTCGCTCACGCCGCCGCCGCCGCCTTGATCTTCATCAGGACGCGGAAAAACACGCCAAACGCCGCGAGGTGATCGAGCGCGTTCTTCCTCATGAACCCCACGCCGGAGTTCCCGAACCCTTCCTTCTCCAGCTTGGCGGAGCACGCGTCGTCCTCCCCGCTTCCGTCGCACCGATTCACCTTGCACGTCTGCTCGTACTCGCACGTCCCCGTCGGCGATGACACGTGATACTCCGTCCCGACGTGATGAAACATCGGCGCTCGCGGGTAATGCACGACGCCGTCCATCCCGTTCACGACGCGGAAGCTCTTATCGCTCAGCGCGGCGTTCCACGCGTTGGCGAACGTGGCGTCGCCGACCCTCGGCGATCCAAACGTCCACACCTCCGCGACGTTGAACCCGTGCAGATGCAAGTCGTACGCCGCGAGCGTCGCGAGCGCGCCGCCGGTGCTGTGCCCGACGAGCACCACCTCCATCGCGGGACCCGCCGGGCTTCGCAGGACGATGTTGGAGAGGCCGTGGAGGAGCCTCGACTGCGCGAGCGCGTATTTCGCCCACATGGATCGCTGCACGTTTCGCACCACACCCGTCCCGGGCGACGGTTCCCCCGTCTTGACGTTCGTTCCATACAAAGCGATGGCGGGGTGGAGTTCAAAGGCGTCAGGTGGAGTTGAAAGGCGCCGAGGTCGGGGATTGAACGCGATGGATGGGCGGAGAGACGCGCCGGGCAAAGTCCTTAAGGAACGGCGTTCACCACGCGAACGGGGTCGTATGGGGACCAGTGTATAGAACGCACCTTGACGTTCGCGTACTGCGGCCCGAACGTCGCCTCCGCGAACGCGTGCTCGATCCCCATCCACGCCGCGGCGCTCTCGGTGGTCTCGCCGCGGAACGCGACGACGAGCTTCGAGGGTTCGCCGAGCGGGGTGATCGTGAAGACGTCGACGCGCCCGTCGAAGAGAGGCGTCGTCTCCACGACCGTGATGTTGCGCGGGACGACGTCGCTCTTGACGCACTCCTTGCAATCCCAGGCTTTGACCTCGTTTAGCGGGGCGTACGTCGCGGACGCGAACGTGGCGTAGCGCATCGCCTTGACGCGCGTGAACTCCGCGTGCGAGTCCGACGTTCCGCCGAAGTAGTGGAGGTAGAGATGATAGACGATCCACGCGCCCGCGGCGCCCGCGGCGATCCAGAGGATCCACTTGCACGTGTCCCACGCGAAGCAGCCGCAGCACGTCTGCGTCTTACGGCGGCGGCGGCGGCGGCGCGCGGGTTCCTCGTTCAGGAGCGGGAGGTCTTCTTCGTCCATCGCGCGCGTCGACGGCGGTCGCGCGGGGCGAGGGGGCGCGCGCGCGTCGATTTTTAGGGCAAAAAAGGAGACAACGGACATCAGGTGTTACAGATTTCGCAATTTGACGGTCTACGCGACGAGTTAATTTAACGACGGCGGGTCGGTGGTTTCAAAGCGAGGCGGAGGACGAAACGAACGACCGATTTTAACGACTGACAGACCAACTCTCGCTCGCTAGCTAGTACCTCCTTCGCGCGGTCGGCTTCCGTCGCGGCGTCGCCGGGTTCTGGCCGAACGGCGCGGGCGACCCGAACGCGCCGGCGCCTCCCCCGAACGGCGACGCCGCGCTCGGCGCGCCGAACGCGCCGCCGCCGCCGCCCCCGAAAGCCGTCGGCGACGACGGCTGACCGAACCCGCCGCCGCCAAACGGCGAAGCCGCCGCCGCCGGCGCCGCCGCCGGCGCCGCCCCGAACGCGCCGCCGCCGCCGCCTCCCCCGAACGCCCCTCCTCCTCCTCCTCCTCCTCCGAACGCGCCGCCGCCCGATGGGGCGCCGAACGCGGACTGCTGCTGCGGTGGTTGCCCGAACGCGCTCGGCGCCGATGGAGCGCCAAACGCGGACGGCGCGCTCGCCGGCGCCCCGAATCCGCCGCTACCGGGGGCCGGCGCCCCAAAACCCGCCGACGCGGGCGCGGGGGCACCGAATGCGGGCGTCGCCGCAGCGCCGAACGCGGGCGTCGCCGCGGGCGCGCCGAACGCTGGCGTCGCCGCGGGCGCGCCGAACGCTGGCGTCGCCGCGGGCGCGCCGAACGCTGGCGTCGCCGCGGGCGCGCCGAACGCCGGCGTCGCCGCGGCCGCGCCGAACGCAGGCGTCGCCGCCGCCGCGCCAAACGCTGGCGTCGCCGCGGCGGCGCCAAAGGCTGGTGTCGCCGCGGGCGCCCCGAAGCCGCCCGTCGCCGCGGGCGCCCCGAAGCCGCCCGTCGCCGCGGGCGCGCCGAAGCCGCCCGTCGACGCGGGCGCGCCAAAGGCGGGCTGCGCGGCCGCTCCCGCCGCGGGCGCGCCGAACAACCCGCCCGCGCTCGGCGACGACGCCGCGGGCTGCGCGCCGGCGAACAACCCGCCGCCCGCCGCCGGGGACGACGCGCCGAAGAGCCCGCCCGCCGTCGCCGGCGCGGGAGAGGACGCCGGCGCGCCGGATCCGCCGAAGAGCCCGCCGCCCGCCGCCGGGGACGACGCGCCGCCGAACAGCCCGCCGCCGCCGCCGGCGAAACCGCCGAGCCCCGTCGACGCCGCCGCGGACGACGCGCCGCCGAAGAGCCCGCCGCCGCCGCTCGCGCCGCCGCCGCCGCCGAAGAGCCCCCCGCCGCCGATCGTATTTGACGGCGTCGACGCCGCGCCGCCGAAGAGCCCGCCGGTTCCGCCGCTCGACGCCGCGCTCGCGCCTCCGAGCCCGCCGAAGAGCCCCCCGCCGCCGCCCGCGGACAAGCCCGTGGACGCGGGCAAAGCGGCGGGCGCGGACGCGCCGCCGAATAAACCCCCGCCCGAAGACGCGCCGAAGAGCCCCCCGCCGCCCGTGGACAAGCCCGCGCCCGCGGACGCGCCGCCGCCGAAGATCGACCCGCCGCCCAACCCGCCGCCCAACCCTCCGCCGCCGAACAAACTCCCGGCGGCGGGGGTCGTCGTCCCGCCGATCCCCGGGAGCGCGAGCGGCTGCCCCCCCGCGGCGCCCGGCAGCGGCTGCCCCTGCGGCTGCTGCTGCTGCGGCGCGGGCCCCGTGACGATCGGCCGCGACCCCGGTCTCCTCCACGACATCTCCGCGAGCCTGTCCTCCTCCTCGTCCGCCCTCTCCGCCTCCGCGAACGGATCCCGGTGGTCCCCGCGCGCGCGACACTTCGCGAGGTGCGCCGCCTTCGCCTTCTGCACCTTCTCGTGGAGCCGCGCGAGGTCCGCGCCGACTTTGTTGAAGTACCGCTGCGCGTCCTCCACCGCGGCGCGCACCTGAGGGTCGAGGGTCCATGCGAATGCGAGCGATCGTCGGGGTGGAGTTGAAAGGCGTCAGAAGCGGAGTTGAAAGGCGTTCGTCGCGGTGTGTCGGGATTGTGAGCGAGTGGTGGTGGGCGGAGAGAAACGCGCGCCGGGCGAGAAAGTCCTGGCGTGCGCCGCGCCGACGCGGTCGTACGGGAACCGGCGTGAGAATAGAACGCGCCTCCCTCGGCCCCGCGTCCGGCGCGAGCGGTTTCGGTCGCTTGAGGTCGTCCCCGCGCTCGAACCCGACGAGCTCCAGGTCGCCGCCCGCGCCGCTCGCGTCGCCGCCGTGCAGCGCCACCGCGAGAGCTTCCAACCCGGGCCCGCCGCCGACGCCGTCGCCGAGCACGCGTCCCGTCGTCCGCAAATTATGCTCCAGCTCCAGCGTGCCGCGTTCGAACCCCTCCGCCTGCGCGTACAGACGATCCACCGTCTTCATCAAGAACGGGCTCGGGTGCGTCGGCGGCGGGAGATACACCGGCGCCGCGCCCGCGGGCGGCGGCTGCCCGGGGTGGATCGCCCCGTGCGCGCGCGCTTCGTCGTCGGCGCGCATCGCCGCGCGTAATCGTCGCGTCCGCGCGAGCGCGTGCTCCGCGTCGCGAAACGTCCCGCGAACCGCGTCCTTGAGCGTCTGCAGACGGTCGTCGTCGCTCCACAGCTGCGTCTCGATGAGCTTCAGAGCGCGCGACGCGCGGAGGACGTCGCGCTCGAGCTCGCGGCGTTCCTTCTGGCCGGGCGCGTCGGGGTGTTCGCGGAGGCGCGCGACGCCGTCGAGAAGTTTCGAGTCCTCGCGGTGCTCGACGATGATCTTCTCGAGCTGAAGCAGGTACTGCTGCGATTGCGGCGAGAGCTCGTTCCACTGCGTGTAGTGCTTCACCGGCTGCCCGTCTATCGTGGAGAGGACGGGCCCCGCGGCGGAGGGCTGTTGGCCCACGAGCGCGAGCTGATTGCCGCCGCCGCCCGCCGGTTGATTGGCGGCGCCGCCGCCGAAGAGGGAGCTTCCGAAGCCGCCGCCGCCGAGTCCCGGGGTCGTCGTCCCCGCGGCGACGCCGCCGGTGGACGCGCCGAAGAGGCCGCCGCCGCCGGTGGACGCGCCGAAGAGGCCGCCGCCCGCGCCCGCGCCCGCGGACGCCGCTCCGAACAGCGACGGCGTCGTCGTCGCGGCGGAGGGGGCGCCGAGGCCGCCGCCGAAGCTCAGCCCCCCCGCCGGGGAGGACGCCGCCGCGGAGGCGCCGAAGAGGCCGCCGGCGCCGGCCGCGGCCGCGGGCGCGGGCGAGGCGGCGCCGAACAGACCGCCGGCGCCGCCCGCGGCCGGGGTGGATCCCGCCGCGGAGGCGCCGAAGAGCCCGGAGCCGCCGGGCGTCGCCGCGGGCTGCGTCGTCCCGAACCCGGGCGTCGCCGCCGCGGCCGCGCCGAACAGCCCGGGCGTCGCCGCGGGCGTGGACGCCGCGGCGCCGAAGCCCCCGAACGCGGGCGTCGCCGGCGCGGCGGACGCGGCCCCGAACATCTTTCTCTAGCTACTAGGGCGAACCGGCTCCTCCCGCTCGATCGATCTGATCTGGGTGCGATCGATCGACCGACCGGCGCCGCGCTCGCGATCGAACGCCCTCGCGCGGCGGGCGCGCGCGCGCTCGGTGAAGGCCGTGCGCGCGACGACGACGGGAGGCCCGACGAGTCACGCGCGCGTCGGCGCGTCGCCGCTGAGTGGTCGCGCCCTCGTCGAATAATCGGCTCAAGTTCAAAAATGAATGCCGTGCGTTTGCGTACTACTGCGCGGTGATGATGGTTCGTCGGAGAAATTCCGCCCGCCGTCGGTCTGGTCTCCTATCGTATTAAACGCTCTACTACATATAACGGTTACGTCACGTCACGTTCCTCACCTCACTCCACACTCACAGCGCCACCCTCCACGCCTGTTCCTCCGAGAACGCGCTCCGCGCCATCGCGTCGTCGTCCTCCTCCGCCTCCGCGGCGCCGCCGCCGAGCAGCGACAGCTCCGCGAGCGCCGCCACCGCCGCGCCGACGTCGTCGCCGCCGGGGCCTGGATGCGGATACGAACCGCCGCGACGATCCGCATTCTGTCTATTCTGCCCCACGTCGCTCCCGTCGTCCATCCCCGGCCCGAAGCACGCGCCGGCCAGCGCGCATCGCCGTAACAGCGCGGCCCAGTGCGGCCAGTGAGACAGCGCGCTCGGATGACCGACGACGACGTTGAGACACTTGGCGCGCGTCGTCGCGACGTTGAATCGACGCGGGCACGCGAGGAAGCCGAGCTGCCCGCCCCCGGTCGTCATCCCCGCCGCGCGGAGGAGCGCGGGGTGCGGCGTCCTCGTCGCCGTCGCGGAGATGAACACCACCTTCTCCTCCTGGCCTTGGTAGTCGTCCACGGTGCCGACGCGCACCGCGCCCAGGCCGCGCCCGCGAAGCAACAGACGCAGCCGCAACACCTGCGCGCGGTACGGCGCGATCACGCCGACGTCGCTCGCGCGCAGACGCGGAGAGGCGTATACGGCGGAAGCTCCGGCGCCGCCGTCTTTCGCGGCGTCGGCGTCGTCGCCGCGCGCCGCGTCGCGGTCTAGCCACCCCGCGAGGAGCTCGACGAGCGCGTGCGCCTCGATCGGATTATAATACGACGGCGAGTCCCCTCTCGCGCTCTCGCGAGTCTGCGCGCCTTTCACGGCGTAGAACACGACGCGGGAGCGCGTCACGGCCGCGGCCGCCGCGAGGTGTCCTTCGTCGTCGTCGTCGTCGTCGTCGTCCTGGTCGTCGTCCACGAACCCCAAGGACTCGTTCCCGCGCGTCGCCGCGAGAGGAAGACCGCTTCCGGCGCCGCGCGTCGACGTCGACGGCGCGGACGTCAGCACCCTCGGCAGCGCCGTCGTCTCCTCGCGCGCGCACGCGACGAGCCCGTCGCGGTAGAACAGCCGCGAGGACAGGTCGATGATGTCGCGATGGCTGCGGTAGTTGCGCACGAGCCGCGTCGCGCGCGCGCCGCAGCCGCCGCCGCTCGCCATCTCGAGCATCGTCGTCGTCAGCCCCGGGGTCATCTCGCCGTCGCCGTCGTCGTCGTCGTCGTCGTCGTCGTCGCACCTCCCGCGACCGGCGACGACGCTGTGCACCGTCGGCCCGAGCTGCGCGGGGTCGCCGGACAGCACCACGCTCGTGCGTCGAGTCGCGAGCCTCAGCGGCACGAGCGTCTCCGGCGTCGTCGCCTGCCCCGCCTCGTCGACGAACACATGCGTGAACGCCGCGCGCTCCGCCGCCGCCCGTCGCGGCGTCGGGATACGGCACGTCGATCGTCCCGGGGGATAACGCGCCGTCCGCGACGGTCCAGCGCGCGACGACGTCGTCGACGTAAGCGTCCGCGAGGAGCCCCGCGCTGGCGCACGACGCGACGACGACGCGCGCGCGCCGCGCCACGGGCGCGTCGGCGGCGACGCAAAAGGGGAGGACGTCCTTCTTGACGGACGACGGGTCGCGGCGCGGATCGTTGACGCGCGCGATCGTCCACGTCCACGCGGGGGACGTGGACGGTTCGTCGTCGTCGTCGGAGGTGTCGGCACCCTCGGCACCCTCGGCACCCTCGGCACCCTCGGCACCCTCGGCACCCTCGCCGCCGCCGCCGCCGCCGCCTTTTTCGACCTCGATCTTCTTTTTCGACGGGCGCGCGAACGGCTCGAAGCCCGCGGCGGCGGCGGCGTCCGCGCGCATGAACTCGCACAGTCGCGAGCACACGACGTCCGCGGCGAACGCCGCGGGGGCGACGAGCAGGACGCGCGCGCGCGGGTCGGACGCGAGCGCCGCCGCGGCCGCGGCGACGACGGTCACGGTCTTACCCGTCCCGGGAGGGCCTAAAACACAATATGGCGATACGCCGCGTCCGCGTCCGCCGCGCTCCGCGTCGCCGCGTAACACGTCGAGGACGACTTTCCGCTGCTCGTCGTTCAGGTGCGCGACGACGGCTTCCGTCGACGGCGTCGCGACGGCGTCGTCCGACGGCGGTCGCGACGACTCGCATGATTCGGACGCGCGCGGCGCCGACGCGTCGCCGGCTCGACGACGCGCCATCGCGTCGAGCGCGACTCCGATCGCCGCGTTGGCCGCCGCCGCCGCGAGCGCCCTCCGCTGCGCTCGAAACGTCGCGTGATCGATCGCGAAGCGGACGTGGCACGTCATCTCCGTCACGACCGTTTGCGCGATCGCTTCCTCCGGCTTCCACGCGAGGTTTGGGTTACGCTCGGGTCGCGCCGGGCGCGACAGCGCGCGCGGCGCCGCGACGACGACGACGCCCGCGCGCGGGACGACGCTCTGGACGACGACGCCGACGTCCGCGACGCGTCGAGTGAACAGGTGATCGTGCGGCTGGCTTCGTTCATTCGTCTGCGCGTCCGCGCGCTCGTCGTGCCGCGTGATCCCCGCCCTCGCGCTCGCGACGCGCACGCGCAGGACGTCGCCGACGACGACGGGAGGAAACCCCTCCACGAGCCCTGGGACGCGCAACGCGTACAGATCCGCGCGCGCCACGCGTCCGCCGGCGAGGACGTCCGTCGTCCGCGGATCCTGCGGATCCCAACCCCGCGGCGGCGCGTGGAACTTCGCGCGCGTCCCCGCGTGCGTCAGCGCGACGTCGTGCAGGTCGTACCTCCGAATGTCCCTCAGGGTCGTTCCATACGAGCGAATGTCGGGGTGGAGTTGAAAGGCGTCAGGTGGAGTTGAAAGGCGCCGAGGGCGGGGATTGAAAGCGAGGTGTGGGCGGAGAGATGCGCCGGGAAAAGTCCTTAAGGAACGGCGTTCACCACGCCAACGCGGTCGTATGGGAACCAGTGTATAGAACGCACCTCAGCTGCTGCCGCTCTTCCACGCGCAGAAGCCGCGACCATCGCGCGAGTTCGCCGCCGCCGGCGCCGGCGTTCGCGAGAAAGACCTCGAGGTCGTCCCACTCGCCGCCTTCGCGGTGCGGCGTCCATCGCGCGAGTCGATCGTCGCCGTCGTTCTCCGACGGTTGCGTCCAGTACGCGGGCGGGAGATGCGAGCTCTTCGGGTCCTTGAACGCCGCGGGCGCGGCGACGGCCGCGGTGCGGAGCAGCGCGGCGTTGAGCGCGCGACGGAGCGTGAACGCTTCGCGGGCGGACGTTTCGCCGAGACACCGCCGCGCCGCGTCGAGATTGGTCGAGCGCAGCTCGCTCGAGGCCCACGGGCTCTCGTCGACTAACGTCACGGGCGCGAGCGTTACCGTGGGAAACGTGTCGTGCGCGTCGCGTAACGCCGTCGGGACGAACGCGGGCGTCTCCGGGTCGAGAACGGACGCGAGCTCCGCGTAACCGTCGCCGTGCGAGCGTTTCGAGCCCCCCCGCGCCGCCGCGACGAGCAGCGCGCCTACCCTGCGCCCGACGACCTCGACATTTCGCGCGTCGAACGGATCGAACGACGCGCGCGCGCCGCCGTCGGAGAAGTCGCCGTTGAGAAACGCATCCGCCGCCGCCGCCGCCGCCGACGGCGGCGGCGTCCACCCGTTCGGACACCGCGCGAACGCGGCCATCACCCACTGCGCGACGCACCCGGTCTTCCTCTTCGCGCGCGCGTCCCCTACCCCTACCCCTCCTAATCCTAACCCTAATTCCACGGTGACGTCGAACGCGCCCCCCGGCGGGACGTACACCGGCGGTCTTCCCTCGAACGGCGGCGCGTCGTCCGAGGCGTGCCTAATTAATTCCGGATAATCGCACCGAGCGCGGAACACCCCGGGAAGATGCGGCGCCGCGGTGATCGCCAAGAGCAGCACCCCATCCGGGGTATCGTTCGTCAGCGTCATCGTCCGCGTCGCCGTCGTGTTGTCGTCTGTCCACGCCGCGAGGAGCGGGTCCGGCGAGCCGGGCGGCGGCTTCGCCGCGCCGGCGGCGGCGGCGGCGTAACTAAAACTCTTCCCGGCGCGTCCCGCCGCGTCCGCGCCGTCGTCCCCCCTCATCCTCCTCCCGCCGCCTCCCTCCTCCGGACGCGTCGACGACGCCACGACCAGCCTCTGGAGCCCGAAGTCCAGCGACGCGGTCCCGCCGAAGCTCACGCGGCCGCTCGAGGGGCCGCACATCGACGCGCTCGGATCGACCAGCGCGTCGCGCACCACGCGTTCGAGTATTTTTTTCGCGAAAAACGCGCGGTACCCGTCCGGGGGCGCGCCTCGCAGCGGCGCGGGCGCGATCGCGGCGATCGCGCTGCTGCGCGGCGCGCGCCGCGCCTCGACGCGCGTCGCGACCGCGGCGCTTCGCTCGGCGCCGAACACGCCTTTTGAGGACGCGTCGAGGACGTCGGAGACGATCGCGAACGCGAGGGCACATCTCGGCACCTCGCGCGGGGCGCGGATCGGCTCGCCGCGAACGAACGCGCGTCGCATCTCTCGCAGGCGCGCGTCCACGGCGCGGCGCACCGCCGCGCGCGCGTCCGGCCCCGGCGGCGGGAGCGGCGAGGCCGAATCCGCCGCGGCGAGAAGGAGCGCGGGGTGCGGACGGAGCTCGTCGCACGCGTCGAAGACGCGCGCCCTGGCGAGCGCTTCGTACTGCTCTTCGAGGCTTCGCGTCGCGTCGTGATGACGATCGCCGAAACCCGGCGGCGGCGGGCGGTGTCCGAGGCCGAGTCCGATTCGCGGCGGCGCGATCGCCGCGCCGTACGCGTACGGCGGGTCCCCGGGCGGCGGGACCGGGGGTGGGACGCTCCCCCATCCCGGCGGGACCCCGTACATCGCGGACTGACGACGACGAACGCCGCGCCCGGCGGGACGGTAAACGAAACGACGGCCCAACTTTTTCGTTCTTTCGTTGGAAACTCCGAGACGAACGACGATGCGAGCGGTGACGCGTCACTCGTCGCCGCGCGCCCGCGATGCCGCTCTTCGCCGCGTCGCGATGCGCGCTCGCGTCGCCCCTCGCGAGCCCGCGTCGTCGCGCGCTCGATCGCCCGCGTCGTCGCGCGCGCCGCGCGGTCTGCCGCGTCGTCTCCTCGGACGCGTCGAACGACGTCGACGACGATGACGTCGGCACGTCCTCAACGCGCCCGCTCACCGCCGTCGTCGTCGGCGGCGGCATCGGCGGCCTCGCCGCGTGCGTCGCGCTCCGCCGCGTCGGCGTCGACGCGCACGTGTACGAGCGCGCGACCGCGCTCCGCGCGAACGCGGGCACGGGGATCGCGCTCTGGCCGAACGGCGTCAAGGCGCTGCGAGCCATCGGGGGCGACGTCGCGCGCGAGGTCGAGTCCCGCGGGGCCGTCATCGGCGGCGTGAAGATGGGCGTGGTGGACGAGGAGAAAGACGCCGCCGCGGAGGACGCCTCCTCCTCCTCCTCATCCTCCTCCTCCTCGTTCAAGTCCGCGCTCGGGAAGGTCGCGGCGAGCGCGTTGGGCAGAGCGTTGCCGCTTCTGATGCGCGCGCGGCACGGCGCCGGGTTAGTGTGCGTTCGATGGGCCGAGGCGCAAGCCGCGCTCGCGTCGTTCCTCCCGGCGCACGTCGTCCATCTCGACGCGAGCGTGGACGCGATCGACGTGATCGAGCGCGCGGACGGGTCCGAGAGCGTGCGCGTGACGTTCGCGCGGAGGGACGGGTCCGCGTACGTCCCCGGCGCGGGAGAAGGATTGACGATGATGACGGCTGGCGACGACGCGGCGACGCTCCACGCGGTGCACGCGGACGTTCTCGTCGGCGCCGACGGCATCAACAGCGCGGTCAGGGCTGGCGTCTTGGGCGATGGCGCGCCGCGGGATAACGGGCGGGTCATCTGGCGCGGCGTCGTCGACGCGCGCGACGTTTCGGATCTCGGGAGTGACAGTTCGTATCCGGAGTTTTGCCCGAGAGGCGCGACGGCGCTGAGCGCGTCCAAGGACAGCGCCGTGGGGCGAACGACGTGCTACATGGACGTGTCTTCGAAGGACGGGAAGCTGTACTGGGCCGCGGGGTGTTTAGACGCTGGGATCACGGAGGTCACGCCCGAGACGACGACCACGGAGAATACGAACGGTCGCGGAGGATACGAACGGTCGCGATGCGCGGCGACGTTCGCGTCGTACCCCGACGTGTTGCGATGCCTCGACGCCACCGCCGACGACGCGTTGTACGTCAGCAGGGTCCTCGACCGACCGCCGCTGTTCCCCGCGTCGTCTCAGACGGAAAAATTCGCCGGCCCGGTGACGCTGCTGGGCGACGCCGCGCACCCGGTGATCCCGTCGTTCGGTCAGGGCGCGAACCTCGCGCTGGAAGACGCGGTCGAGCTCGCGGTCGCGTTGGCGCCGTTCGCGACGGTCGCCGTCGACGCGGACGCTTCGTCGTCGTCGTCGTCCGCGAGGAACGAAGCCCTCAAAGCGACGCTGCGCGCGTGGGAGACGACGCGCCTGACGCGCACGTCCGAGGCGCAGATCGCGAGCTTCATCAGCGGGAGCAAATCGTACGGCGAGGAGAAGCTCAAGAGCGCGATGGCGGACGCGGGGATCGACGAGGCGGCGTTGCGGGCGCACAGAGAAAAGTTCCCAGACGCGAACGCGACGCAGGAATATCTCATCTCGTGGTCGCCCTCGTGCGGAGTCGCGACGACCTTGCCGGAGTTGAATCCGAAGGCGGCGATGGCGCTGGCGATGCGCGCCGCGAGTGCGAGGAAATGCGACGCGGAGAAGCTGAGCGACGACGTGATGGGGCGACGCGCGGCGTGCGTCGGCGTCGGCGCCGCCATCGGCGCGGGCGTCTTTTCGCCGTCGCCGCCGCCTCGAGCGGCGGCCGCGTCGGTACCGAAACCGGAATATGAAACGTCGATCGTCACGTCGACGACGACGTACGCGGGCGACGGGTTCCGAATGACCCTCCCGGTTGGGTGGACGACGGCGGAGCAGCCTGGGGTGTCGCAGAGCCGCGTCGCGTTGTTCGACGCGTCGGGCGCGAAGGCGGCGACGATCTTCCTCGAGCCGACGGCTTCGATGGCCAACAAAGGCCTCGCGTCTCTGTTCGCGGACGCGACGGATTTTGGTCTGAAGGCGGCGGGGCGCAGGAACGGGTCGCTGGCCGCGGCGAGGAACGGGAGCGCCGACGGCGTGTACATCGCGGAGGGGACGAACGCGAGAGGCGACGCGCCGTGGGTCGAGATGATCGCCGTGGGATGCCGCTCCGGCGAAAACGCGAAAAAGTTCAATCTGTCGCAGACGATTCGCGTGGTGTCCGAGGCGTCCGTCGGCGTCGGCGTCGGCTCCGCCGAGGTCCTCGACGGGCTGCGCGCCGTGATGGAGTCGTTCGAGCTCACGGCGGGGGCGTCGTGCGAGGCGTCGCGGTGATTTTGACGTTGTTTTTTCGATAAAATTGAAACCTCTCTCTAGTAAATAAGGTACCGGCTAACGCGTCGTCACTCGTCGTAATTCCGCGGCTTCGGGACGATCGAGCGGTACTTCTGATACTGGCGCATCGTTTCCCGACCCACGGTGCCGTTCACGAAGTCCTCGTCGAACGCGTCCATGTACTTCCGACTGATCGGATTATCCACGAGGTCCTTCCGAAGCTCCGCGATGAGCTCCGCGAGCTCGACGTCGTTGAGCTCGCTAAAGTCAATCTCTCGCTCGGGCTCCGACGTCGCCTTCTTCCGTCCTCCGTCGTCCACGCTCACGCTCCAGACCTGCTGCGCGAACCCCGCGATCGCGCCCAGCACCGCGCCGCTGATGATTAACGTGAGCTCGTCCTGCTCGAAGATGGGATGGAGCACGCGTTCGAATTCCCTCGGCGTCATGAGCGCCATTCGCTCTCGCATCAACTCCTTCAACGCCAACGTGTCGTCCGTGTACTCGTGCAGGACGTGGACGTGGTCCAAGAGACGCTCTTTCACTTTCGCGACGACCTCGTCGAGTAATGCGGTGTCTTCGACGGTCGCGGTCCTGCCGAACCCGAGCCCGGAGAGCATCCCGCGGCCTTGATACGCCGCCTCGCTCGTCACGAAATCCCTCGTGTACCCCTCCAGAAGCTCCTCGAAGTCCCCGGCGCGGTCGCCCTGCAGCATGTTATCCCAAATCTTCTCGCTCGTCAGCACCTTACTCGCGAGGTGGTCGCTGAACTCGCCGCTGACTTCCGTCTGCCTCTGTAAGAAGAGCCCTTGGATCTTCAGCTTCGCGTTTCCGAAGAGGTAATACGGCTCGATCGGCTCGAAGATGCACTTCAACGCGATCCAGTTCGTGGCCAAACCGACGATCGTGCCGCCGATCGTCAGCGTCCACGGGTTGTCGTAGAACAACCACACCCCGGCCTGCACGCACCCCAACAGAAATCCGAAGAATAACCCGCTGTTCACGAGGAACTTGAGCTCCTCCCTGCCGCAGCGTCGAAACAGCTCCACCAGCGTCCTCTTGTCTTCGCACATCTCCACGACGACGAGCTCCTTCAAGTCGATCACGCGGTCGACGTTCCGCTGCAGCAGACGCACGAACCCGGACAAGTACCTCCGCACGCCGTCCTCCAAGTGCGGCGTCACGACGCTCGACGGGAGCGCGTTCTCGCCCAAGTCGACGACCCAGTTCGGGGCGACGTCTCGAGCCACCTCCTCCGCGATCGACGGCGCCTGTTTCGAAAGCAACGACGCGACGACGTCCGGGTTCAACCGCATGAAAACCTCCTGGACGTCGATCAACTTCGTCGTGACCATCGTGACCATCGTGTGCGCCATCTGCGCCGCCTTCGCGGGGACGATCCCTTGCCACCCGAACACCCCGAGCGGGTTTAATATCGGATACCCCCACAGCTCGCCTTCGACTTTTTGCGCGAGCGCGACGCCGAGAAAGGTGATGGGATAGAAGATCATCTTGACCGCGAGCCAGTTCGTGAACCACCCCACGAACGCGGCGACGACCGGGATCAACAAGATGGCCTGTCGGTCCGCGTCGAACTTGTCCTTCGCGCGTTTCATCGCGCGCTTGACGACCACCGCGGGCGCGCGCGATCTCGTGAGGAAGAAGGCTGCGATCTTTCGCGCGACGAAGACGCAAAACAGGCGCTTCATGAGCTTGAACGTGAAGTCCGCGGAGCCGTTCACCGCGGGCCACGGGGACGTGACGCTGCCGTACACCACGAGCGCGGCCGCGAGGAGGGTCGTGCGGGATAAGAACGCGTGCGTCGCGCGGCGGCGTTCGCGCGGATTCTTCGTCGTCTTATTCGCGCGATTCGTCTTCTTCGTCTTCGCGAATCGCGGCGGCTCCGCGGCGGGGGCGGGCGGCGCGCCGCTCGACGCCGTGGCGTCCTCGCCGCCTTCGACCGCGCGCGCGTCGACGTCCCTCTCGCCCTCGTCCCCGAACGCCGTCGACGCCGCCGCCGCGGACGCGCGCGTCGCGCTCGCGCGCCCGCGCCTCGCGGCGAATCGATTCGCGCGCGTGCCCACTGGAATCGTCGTCGCGAGGCGCGCTAAGATCGCGCGTCGCGCCGCGCGATTCAGCGTCGACGGCGGACGCGACGCGGGACACCGCGTCGACGCCGCGCATCGCGCGCGCGGGGGGGCCACGCCCACGGCGCCGCCGTGCCCTATCGCCCGCATCGCCGCGCTCCGTCTTCTGATGAGGCAGGCGAAAGATACGATCGTCTCCGCGGGAGCTTCTGTTCTGCTGTTCGAACGGCGGAATTGCGCGCCAACAGCCTAACAGCAACAGGTGACAGTTGCGGTGCGCGCGGAAGGCGACGACGCGACGGAAGGTATTCGCCTCGACTCGATACGCTCAAAACTAAACAAAGTACAACACCCACGAGCGCGCGTCCTCCGCGCGCGAGAAGACAGACCGGGCGCGCGCGCCCCGACGCCCTCCGTCGCGCGCGCGAAGCGACGCGGGCCCCCGGACGCCCGCGCCCCGTCGCGGGGAAAAATTGAAAAAAACACTTCCTCACTCACAGCACCTGGTTCCTGCTCTGAAGCACGTATATATCGTTCCCGACGACGCACCCTTCGATGTCCTGCGGCGCGCCCGTCTCCGCTTCCACGGCGACCGCCAACGCCACCAACCGCGACAGCAGCGCCGCGCGCTTCGCCTCGTCCCACACCAACGGCTCGTCCGCGTAGTTCACGACGTGCGACTCCGTGGGAACGACCGTGACGGAGTCGTACAACCCCGCGCCCGCGAAGCCCTCGAGATCCTCGCCGTTTGAGTCGGAGCGGACGATCATCGTCGTGTACGGCGCGCGGTGCGCGACGGGCTTGGACGGCAGCGAGCGAATCGCCACCGCCGCGCCCGGGGTTTTGCTCGCCGTGAACGACAGCGCGCTGCCCGGCTCGTTCCCGACCAGAGCCTCGCCCAGGCCGACGCACACCTCGCCGAACACCTCGGTCGCGTCCCCGGTCAGCGGGTTCGCCGTGTGCAGAACGAACGCCGCCTCCGCGGGGACAACCTCCATGAGCAACGTCGCCACGTGTAACGCGTCCTCCTCGACGCCGCACGCCTTGCGACTGAGGTACGCGCGCTCGTTCCACTTGGACGCCCAAACTCTCTTCACCGCGCGGTAGATATCCTCGGGCGCGCACGCGCCGCCGTGCGCCGCGGACGCGGCGGTCAGCGGGGCGACCAGGTCGGCGGGCATCGCGAGGTCGTGCTCGATCGTCGCGCGCGTCTCCGCGAGCGCGGCGCGGCGCGCGGCGGCGTCGCCGCTCGCGTCCGCGGCGGCGATCGCGGCGATCGCGGCGGTGAGCTTCGCCGCGGTGGCCGCGTCCGCGGCGAGCGCCCTCTCGAACGCGTTGAAAGGCAGCGCGGACGACGCGGGCACGCTTCCGTGCGCGGCGACCGCCGGGGAGACGCCGAGGCGCGCGAGCGAGCTGGATTTGCCGCCGACGACGCCCGCGGCGTATCCCTCCGGCGCTACGACCCAGTCGTCGACGTCCGCCTTGGGCTGCAACGCGAGCGCTGGCGCGGATGCGGGCGCGCCCGCCGCGGACGCCGCCGCCGCGACGCCGAGCTCGGACGCCGACACGACCACCTCCTCGCCCACGACGTCAATCTTGACCCCCTCGCCGGCTCTCGCGATCAACGCCTCCCATCCCGCGGGGTCGGGCATCGCCGCGAGGAGCACGCCCGTCTGCCTCGCGCGGATCGCGATGTGCGACAGCAGATCCACGGGCGAGGACGTGAGCACCGCGGCGACGCCGGGTGGGATGTCCTCGAGGCCGCCGAGCTTCGCGGAGAGGAGGACGACGGGGTCGGCGGCGAAGTCGCCGCCCTGGACGTCCTCGAGCGACGTCACGGTCACCTTCCCGGCGTAGGAGGAGAGATGGGGCGATCCCATCGCCGCGATCTCCCAGGGAGAGCGTCCCGCGGCGGCGCGAACCGCGGGCCTGGTCTCCATGAGCAGCTTGGACACGGCGAACATGGAGTGTCCGCGGACGACTTCCTCGCCGAAATTCGCGATGTAGCTCCGCTCGCACCCGGCTTGCTCGGCGATGACGTCGGCGGGGTGCTGCGACAGCCGGCACAGCTCGTCCATGTGGTACTCCATGGCGAGCGACACGGACTCGAGCGCGGCGTCCATCACCTTGGACCACTCGGGGCTCCAGCGCGCGAGCCCGCAGTCGCCGTTGACCTTTTGGAAAAACGAAAACGCGGCGCCCATGCGGTCGAAATCTTGACCCACCATGACGTTGCGAATCGACATCTCGAGTTGGCCAAGGCGGGAATCGTCGTCCCACTGGGAGAAGTCCATGCCCTCGATCTTGTTCCGGTAGAACTTCTCCATGGCGATGTCTAGGAGCACCACGTCGCGGTTGGTGTGCTCGCCGTACCGCCAGGTTCCGGACAACCGTTCGCGGAGCTCGACGATCTTGTTTGGCACCCACGGCTCGTCGAGGTTGTCGAAGACGCCGTAAATCTCCCCCTGGATATCTTCGGGCATGTGCCCATTGGCGTGGTCCATCGCCGAGTTCATGTTACCGCCGCCGTGGGTGACGCGAAGAATCCAGTAGAAGTGCTTCATGGGGTTGATGAGCTGCGGGAGGTGGTTGCCGGGGCCGAGGATGCCCTCGGTGCGCCAGCCCGCCTTCATGCGAATGTCGGGGTGGAGTTCAAAGGCGTCAGTTGGCGTTGAAAGGCGTCGAGGTCGGGGATTGAAAGCGAGGTGTGGGCGGAGAGATGTGACGGGCGAAGTCCTTAAGGATCGGCGTTCACCACGCCAACGCGGTCGTATGGGGACCAGTGTGACGTTTTTCAACTCGCCTTCATCGACGCGAGGTCCTCGCGGCTCAAGCCGTGATTATCCCACAGATGCGTCCAGAAATCGTCCCAGTTGCCGGTGTGAAGGAAGTGGAGGTACGCCTCGCAGATGTAGATGTCGTCCACGGTCGTGTTGGAGTGCAGCTTTTGGTGCCACTGCGCGATGAACGGGTCCTCGATCCCCGGCCGGTGGCCCTCCTTGATGCCGTTCTCGCGCATGAGCTGCAGGATGCCCAGACGAATGTCGTCGCCGTTGCCGCCGCCGCGGGGCAACGTCGCCAACGCGGCGCGGTACAGCTGGCGCGACGCGCCGTCCTCCGCGGTGGCGGACGCGAGCGCCATCCTGCGGCAGATGACCTCCTGCATGTGCGCCATGTCTTTGCCCTGGTAGTTCCCCCCCGCGTACCACGCCAGCTGGCGCATCGCGGAGAGTCGCAGCGTGGCGAAGATCGTCGCCGCGCCCTCGGGGCCAGCCTGCTGAGACTCGCTCAGCTTATCGTTGATGCGGCAGAAGCGGTTGTACAGGTTCGTGCCGTGCTCCTGGTTCTTCGTGTTCTCCGCCTGCGACAGCGCCTTCAAGATGCCGTTCGCGTTCGGCGTCATCAGCGGCACGGCCAGGTCGCCGACGTCGGCGTGGAGCCAGTCGCTGTTGTTTCGGACGAGGATGCCGACGACGCGCGCCACGTCGTCGCCGACGCCTGCGATCGGGATCGGGAGGTGCGCTTCGGTCAGTCGAACGTCTTATTACCGGTCAAAAAATAAATTAATCATCGTCGAAAGAGAAGCGCGGGCGAAGCGCAGCGCGACGACGGGGAAAGAAAGTCCTCGAGGAACGGGGTCGCGCAGGGACCAGTCCGGAAGCGGCCTCTCTCACCTCGCGGGAACGTCATCGTCAGCTTCCCGTCGCCGTCGAACGGGCTCCGACTCGCCTTGCCGTCGCCCGAATCGTTCGTGCCCCCCGGGAGCACCGCGCCCTCGGGCGGGAGGCACCACTCGTCGCTTCCCTCCATGACGCACGCCCAGTGCAGCTCGAGGTTGCCGCCCTGCGGCAGCAAGTCGCGTTGGGTAAACGTGATCGTTTTCGTTCCGTCCGAGCGTTCGACCGCGAACATGTGCACGCCGCCGTGGGTCTCGATGCGGTCGTGGCCGCCGAAGTCGACCTTGGCGTGCTCGTCGAAGCGGATCTGCGGAGGCGAGGGAGGGAGAAGGGGGGGTGAGGCGTCGGCCTCGAGAGAACGACGGGACGGACAGACGCGCGTTGTCATCTTGAAAAGATAACCATCGATCGCACCTTTTCCGACGCGGGCGCGGCCGAGGGCGGAGCGACGCGCGGGATAGCCGCGGGAGGCGCCGCGGGAGGCGCCGCGGGAGGCGCCGCGGGAGGCGCCGCGGCGGGCGCCGCGGCGGGCGCCGCGGGAGGCGCCGCGGGAGGCGCCGCGGGCGCCTGCGGCGGCGCGGCGGCGGGCGCCGCGGCGGGCGCGGCGGGAGGCGCGGCGGCGGGCGCGGCGGGAGGCGCCATGGGAGGCCTCGCGGGCGCCTGCGGCGGCGGCGGCGGCGGCGCCGCGGCGGGCGCCGCGGCGGGCGCCGCGGCGGCGGCGGCAGCCTGCGGCGGCGCCGGCGCGGGAGCGGGCGGCGCCGGCGCGGGAGCGGGCGGCGGCGACGTCTCGACCACGACGGGCGCCGGCGTCGCGGACTCGAGGCTCGCGGCGATGGCGTCGTTCTCAGCCTTGAGCGCGTCGATCATGGCGGCGATGCGCGCGAGCTCGTCGTCGGCCGCGCGAACGACGAGCCCGCGCCGCGCGCGCGGCGTCCGCGCCTGTCGCGCCGCGCGCCGCTGCTTCTTCGCGGATTTCCCAGCGAGGCGCGACGCGGCGGCGGGGACGAACGCCGCGCGCGCGGCCATCCCGAGAGCTGACATTCCGCGGCTGGTAACGCACAAGGTTATCCTGTTGGCGCCTTCGAAAAGATCCTAGTCACCGCGGGAGGGCGCTCGAGCTGCGCGAGGTGAGGCTCACGCGCGGTGCGTCGTCTCGTCTTCTGAGGCGGCGGAAGATGCGATCGCGCGGAAGACGGAATCGCGCGCCGAGTCGAGTGTCTCGAGACGGGGGCGGGCGGACGGGTTGGGGGAAACAACGAAGGGACATCACGTTATCATGTCTGCCGGGCTTTTTGACGCGAAGTGGGCTTTTTCACCTTTTTTCTCGAACGCACTGACCTTAAGGTTAACCTTACACTGAAAGGACGCCTCGACGCCTCGTAGGACTCGCTCGATAAACTCAAAACTAAACAGAGTACAACACCCGCGAGCGTTCGTCCACCCTTCGCGCGGACGACGCCGTTCATCACAGATACCCCACCCCACCCCAGCCCTCGTCGCGTTCTCGCTCTCGACCGATCGTCCTCGAACGTCGTCTCTCGAGGGTCATCAGTCATATAATCTGATCACACGCTGATGACCGATCGTATCCCGTCATCCATATTCAACACCATAATCACCTGTACGTAATATAACTGAAAATACTTCACCACCCGCGCAAAGGCGCCGCGCGGTGCAACGCGCGCATCGCCTCTCGTCGCTCGCTCCGCGAGTGAGGCGCTCTCTCTTCGCGGCGGTCTCGGTCGAGCCGTAATCCGACGCCGCCGTGCGTTAGAAACGCGCGCTCACGCCGTCGGCGCGCGCGCTCGCGCTCGTGCTCGTTGCTCGACACGCCGCCCTGCGCGAGCCACACGATCGCGAACAGCCCAGCCCAAAACGCCAACGAGTACGCGGGGCCCGACTTCGCGGCGTACTGAGGGTCGAGGATCCGCGCGAGGCGACGAATGTCGGGGCGGAGTTCACGGGCGCGTCAGTTTGAGTCGCGAGGCGTCGAGGCGTGCGCGTCGGGATTAAAAGCGAAGCGAGGGGTAGTGGGCGGAGAGAAACGCGCGCCGGGAGAGAAAGGAAAGTCTCCGAGGATCCAGCGCGAGGAGGACGCGCCTGATCGACGCCGCCGCTCAGCGAGTTGAACACGCTGCTGCCGACAAACTGCAGCGCGATCTCGAGGAAGCAGATGAAGCACGAGAGCGTGATGCACGCGAGCGCGAGGATGCTGAACGCGAACACCTGCGCGGCGATCGACGGCGAGAGCCCCAAGCTGAACATCGCGCGTCTCGCGAACCCGTTCGTGAGCACCGCCCACGCCTGCCCGAGGTTCCCGAGGAGGCCGCTCACCACGGAGACCGAGGACCCTAATCCCCCGCCCCCCACCCCGCCGCCCTCGCTCGTCGTCGTCGGCGGCTTCCCGTCCCTCGCGTTGACGCCCCCCGCGAGCTTGCGCCCGGAGCACTCGGGCGCGTCCAGCTGTCGCGCGCCGTTTCTCGCGCACCACTCGTTCGTCGCGTCTCGCAGCGCCCAGTTCGGGACGATGTCCGTGGCGTACAGCTCGACGTTCGACGACGGGTCCGTGGGCGGGGTCTTCTGCCGGAGCCAGCGCTCGATGGCGTCTCGGTCGTACGTGTACCCGGTCTGCGTCACGACGACGGGATCGCGGAAGAGCTCTTGGGTGATCGGGCATCGGAGGCTGTCGGGGGGATCCGCGCGCGCGCGCCCGGCTCGTCGGACCGCGTACAGGAGCCCGGTGACGAACCCGAGTTGCGGGATCCCCATGCGCTTCTCCACCGCGACGCGGCGCGTCATCGCGACGACCGGGCGGGCGAGGAGGGCGCCGCGCGCCGCGACCGTCGACGCTCGAGCGCGCCGACGCCGCGGTTCCTCGTCGTCCGCGTCCGCGCTTCGTCGACGGCGCGGCGACCTTTCGAGGCGAATTCGTTGAACGCCGGATTTAAAAAGTATCTCGCGCGGTCGCCGAACGCGCTCGCGTCGCCTCCCGAGGCGCGGGTTCGACCGTCGCGCGCACCGGGGACGTCGCGGGGACGACGCGAGCGAACGCGCGCGCGAGTGAAGACGCGACGCGCGCGAACGCGAGCGCGAAGTGACGCCGACGCGCGCTCGATCGGTGCTCGAGAAAGTGGGGGAGTTACCGTACACGTGTACACGTCAGATAACTTACTAAGTTACTCTCAGAGGGCGTGTTTTTTAACCCCTTTTCGACCGACCATCGATCAAATCGATCGATAACATTCCGATGAAAAATGTTTAAAGGTCTGCTTTCATCGCAAGAGCCGATCAAAGCTTAACTAATAACTCCCGCGAAAAGAACTGGAGGCACCACACGCCACCGGCGCAGGGGCGACGCCGCGCGTCGCCCCCGTCGAGCGCGCCGATCGCCCGCGATGACGCGCGACGCCGCGGCGCCGTTGGACGTCGCGCGCGACGCCGCGACGGCGCTGGGAACGACGCTCACGGGTGCGTCGTCGTCGTCGTCGTCGTCGTCGTCGTCGTCGTCTTCAAATCTCATCATCACAGCTGCGCGTCGTCGCTCTCGCCCCCCGCC